CATCGCGAATATCGTGAAAAATATAAAATTGTCTATAAACTTGACACGTATAATACGGCAGTATTTGAACAAAAGATAACCTCCTAAGAGACAGTGAATAACTTTGTTAACATACCTCCAATGTTTACCTGGAAGACAGAGATAAATATATAAGTACCGCGTACCGTCTAATATTGTGGAAAACTCATTAATTAAAATGAGGGCTAACTTGTGCGAAAAACGCGAAATTAATGCGAATTGTCCATTGAAACGTCCCTAGAAAGAACGAAAGACCAATCAAAATTTTCGAGTTTTATCAGGGTGTGTTCTTTATGAATGAATATCTTATGTATAACTTATGAAATCTTGTCAAGGGCTTAGACAATACCACAACAATTCATTCAGATACAATTTTAGAGTACACGCTTGCTTTATTTAAGTACTGTCAACAAATAATTGATAATGTATAAACGTCATAACGGAGAAATGGTATTGTCACTAGTAACATTATATTTCGTGGTTAACCACAACATTAAAATTTATCAATATTGAAATAATAATAATGCACGTTAAAGTGTTCCGAAAGCTTACAGCATACTGGAAGAATGCTTCGAACTAGCCGCGCGATACATTTCCATTATACCCCACGTTGCAGTTATTGATTTTGGAATTTAGTTACTTTCAGTAGTAGAAACAATGCTATATCGAAGCAATGCGGGTGCTAATTTGTTACGCGGAAATAATATGTATTGAAATCTGCTTCACTGAGGGCTAACTTGTGCGGAAAACGTCAAATTAATGTGAATAGCGAATTGTNTAGTAGAAACAATGCTATTTCGAAGCAATGCGGGTGCTAATTTGTTACGCGGAAATAATATGTATTGAAATCTGCTTCACTGAGGGCTAACTTGTGCGGAAAACGCCACATTAATGTGAATGACGAATTTTCCATTGAAACATCCCTAGAAAGAACGAAGGACCAATCAGAGACGCCGAATTGTATCAGGGTGTGTTCTTTATATATGAATAATTTATGAATTATTAATGTTAATTTGTCAAGGCCTTAAACAATGCGCCAACAATTCATTCATATGCAATTTTAGACTCCACGCGTTTTGTGAATATATCCTGACTACAAATGATTCATAATATATAACTGTCATACCGGAGTCATGATATTGTCACTAGTAACATTAAATATTGTCGATGTAAACGAGATTTGGATTTATCAGTATTGAAAAAATAATCTTACATTAAAAAATGTTCGCAAAGCATACAGGGCAGTGGAAATATGTTTCAAGCATACAACGCAATACATTTCCATCATACCCCACGCTTCAGATAATGATTCTGGAGTTTAGTTACTTTCGGTACTAAAAACTATGCTATTTCGAAGCAACGCGTGTGCTAATATCTTACATGGAAATGAGATGTGGTAGAATATGCTTCACCGAGAGATAATTTGTGCGAAAAACGTTAAATTATTGTGAGTAATGGATTGTGAATTGAACATCCCTACAAGTAACGTAGGACCAATCACAAACATCGAGTTGCATCACGTTGTGTTCTTGATTCATAAATATCTTACGAATGACTTCTGTAATTTTGTCAAGGGCTTAGACAATGCACCAATAATTTATTCTGATGCAATTATAATGTTCACGCTTTGTTTGAATAAGTACTGTTCACAAATATTAAATAAAATATAGACAACTTTACTGAGAAACGATATTGTCCCTAGTAACATTATATTTCGTCGATGACAGCGGGATTTCAATTTATCAGCATGGAAATAATCGTACATATAAAGAGAGGTCAGAAAGCATACAGTGCAGCGGAAACATGCTTCGAGCGTACAGCTCGATACAATTCCGCCATACCAGAAGTTGCAGGAATTGATTCTGGAATTTAGTTACTTTCGCTAATAGAAGCAATGCTATTTCGAAGCAACGCGAGTGCAAATATGTTACGTCGANGAGCAACGCGAGTGCAAATATTTTACGTCGAATTAAAATGTGGTGAAGTCTGCTTCAATGAGGGCTAACTTGTGCGAAAAACGCGAAATTAATGTGAATAACGAATTGTCGATTGAAACATCCCTATAAAGAACGAAGGACCAATCAAAATCGTCGAGTTTTATCAGGGTGTGTTCTTTATGCACGAATATCTTATGTATAACTTATGAAATCTCGTCAAGGGCTTAGACAATGCCCCAACAATTCATTCAGATGCAATTTTAGATTATACGCTTGCTTTATATAAGTACTGTCAACAAATAATTGATAATGTATAAACGTCATAACGGGAAATGTTATTGTCACTAGTAACATTACATTTCGTGATTAACAACGAGATTAGAATTTTCCAATATTGAAATAATAATCGTACACGTAAAAGTGTTCCGAAAGAATACAGCATACTGAAAGAATGCTTTGAACTAGCCGCGCGATACATTTCCCTCATACCCCACATTTCACAGAATGATTCTGGAATTTTGTTACTTTTGGTAATAAAAGCAATGCTATTTCGAAGCAACGCGGACGCAAATAAGTTAGGCGGAAAAAAAATGTGGCGGGATCTAATTCACAGAGGGCTAATTTGTACGAAAAACGCTAAATTAATGTTAGTAATGGATTANAATCGGACTAGCCGCGCGATACATTTCCCTCATACCCCACATTTCACAGAATGATTCTGGAATTTTGTTACATTTGGTAATAAAAGCAATGCTTTTTCGAAGCAACGCGGACGCAAATAAATTAGGCGGAAAAAAAATGTGGTGGGATCTAATTCACAGAGGGCTAATTTGTACGAAAAACGCTAAATTAATGTTAGTAATGGATTATGGATTGAAACATCCCTAGAAAGAACGAAGGACCAATCAGAAGAATCGAGTTGTGTCACATTGTGTTCTTGATTGATGTATGTCTTACGAATGACTTCTGTAACCTTGTCACAGGCTTAGAACGAATTCGTAAAATTTATAAACAATTATAAATTAGACGTACTTCTCAATCAATTACGACAAAAAAGTTTACATATTTCGATTCCTTATTCAATTTCGAATAAATGGGTGAAAAAAAAAGTTGGTAACTCCCAATAGCTAAATAACAACTTTCTTTTGTTTACAACAACGAGCAATGGCGCGAACTGGACGCGATTATAAACGATTAGAAATTACATGTTCTTCTCAGTCAGTTACGACAAAAATGTTTACATATTTCGATTCCTTATTCAATTTCGAATAAATGTGAAAAAAAAGTGAAAAAAGTGGAAAAAAAATTTGGTAACTCGCAATAGCTAAATAACTACGTTCATTTGTTTACTTCGATGCAGCGGCGCAGACTGGACTCGCCGCGAACTGGACGCAGCGCGATATTAGTAAATCAATTGCGTGTATTTTTGATGAAAATGAGAAAATTTTGATATTATTTCATTATCTTATTAAAACAAAACATAGTCCTAAGTAGCATGTAATTTGTTTAAAGTAATACATAAAAGTTATAAACGATTAGAGATTACTGGTACTTCCCAATCAGTTATAACAATGAGGCTTAGATATTTCTATTCCTTATTAAATTTCGAATAAATTAGTGGAGAAGAATGTTGGAAACTCGCAATAGGTAAATAACAACGATCATTTGTTTACCATCCGCGCGCAGCGTTGCAGCGGAGGCGATCGTAAACGATTAGAGATTACTGGTACTTCTCAATCAGTTACGACAATAAGGCTTAGATATTTCGATTCCTTATTAAATTTCGAATAAATTAGTGAAGAAGAATGTTGGTAACTCGCAATAGGTAAATAACAACGATCATTTGTTTACATCGACACGCAGCGGCGCGAACTGCAGGCAATTATAAACGATTAGAAATTACATGTACTTCGCAATCAGTTGCGACGAAAATGTTTACATATTTCGATTCTTTATTCAATTTCGAATAAATGAGTGAAAAAAAAAGTTGGTAACTCGCAATAGGTAAATAACAACTTTCATTTGTTTACATCGACGCGCAGCGGCGCGAACTGGACGTGGCGCGCTGTTAGGAAATCATTTGCGTGTATTTTTTTATAAAAATGGGAAAATTCTGATAATATTATTTTATTATCTTATTAAAACAAAACAAAGTTCTACGTTGCATGAAATTTGTTTAAACAAATTCATAAAAGTTATAAACGATTAGAAATTACATGTACTTCTCAATCAGTTACGACAAAAATGTTTACATATCTCGATTCCTTATTCAATTTCGAATAAATGTGAAAAAAAGTGAAAAAAGTGGAAAAAAAATTTGGTAACTCGCAATAGGTAATTGTGGAAAAACGCGTTTTAAACGTCAATCATCGCGATTCGCCTCGATTTATCAGGAGTAAATGCGCGGATCCTCCTCGCCAAAAACTTGGAAGAGACGTCTTAAACAGGCGTGAACATTGCCGATTTCAAACGCCGATCCGAAACGTTCTCGAAAAGATTTGTGGGCCCCCGAGTGAGCGAGAGATTAACGAGTTAAAAACGCGCAGTGTCGGTAAGTGCACTTTCGTTCTTTCCGTCATACACTCTACACTTTTTGTATTTAACATGGAATAGATATATGAAATTTGATGGGGGTGAAAGAGAGAAAGATAGAGAAGGATCACGAGGAATTTTGTACGGCAAACGAATTTAGATTCTCCAATTTTATGAGACAGCACAAGTGTCCTAAATCTTAAAAACGTCTGAAACAAGTGGCATATCTTTCAAACGTCTCTAATGTTTAGACATTTTTTATGCTGTGTGGGTAACACTTTATAAGCGATTGGTAATCAAATGGTTATCCAATGAGAACGTACCATCATTCGGAGCGTATACTCGGGCCGTTGAGTACCGAGATTTGACGGATTGGCGGTTCGCGAGACGGCTTATCTTCGCGGTAAATAACACATTCGTGTTTTCACACGCACCGGTGTTCCGACGATATATATACACCCGAAAGTTTCATTAGTCACACGATCGCGATTCCGCGCGTTTTATCGCTATTGTAAGTCAACAGAACGAATAAACAATTTTACGCCTTGACACCGCCGGTAAACATGGCGCGAAGCACCGCCGATGAACTCCTGGAGCTCGAAAGGAAGCAGAGGACAATCGACAGGGCGCCTTTTCGAAACCTGGCCATTAAAGATGCTACGGTACTGGACACGATTGAGGGTCGAATGCCCTGCGAGAGATGTTACGCCTCGCGAAAGTACTTTTGTTATAACTGCTTTTTGCCCGTTATCGATCAAATATACTTTCCACGAGTGAAGGTACGTTGCAATTTGTCGTAATCGATGTAAGTTGGAACTCGGAAAGAAACAATGGACAATTCAAGGCGCGTTCTTTATTTTTTTGCCATTTTCAGTTACCTATCAAAATTGACATAGTTAAGCACCGTCGGGAAACAGCCGGCAAGAGCACAGCTGTTCACGCTGTGATACTCGCACCAGAGGATGTGAAGATCTATACGTATCCGAAGTTTCCTGAGATAGACAGAGAGGAAGTATGAGAGAGTAACAATATATATTCTTCAGTCTTATATAATTTTTGAGAATGCTCGTTGACTTAAGGGACATATATAATCCCTTAGACAGTTTTAATTTTCCCTAGCGAAAGTGCCATAAGAGTGGAGGATCTTTTTAAGGAGGTGAAAGATGAAGAAGGTCAGGATTCTACCATTTTAAGGAGAATCAAATCTGAACTTCCTGTGAAAAGGGCTATTTTTATCGACAGTACATGGCAGCAAACTAAAGAGATATATAAGGATGTTAGATTCCGTGGTATGTGGGGAAAATTTGTCCACTACAGTCACATATAATTCTTATATGTCACTATTGTGGTCTTTATATCATTTATATAAAGAGACTCAATTTTTGCAGGATTACGTTGTGTGATTTTAAAGTCAAGGATCTCTCAGTTCTGGCGGAATCAAAAGAAATGTCCAAGATGGTACTTGGCGACAATTGAAGCGATTCACCAATTTCTAGTGGAACTGCACACATGTGCCTTTGGTGCTATAGAAAATTATACTGATTTAGATGATCCCGTGGTAAATAGAGAACAGAACTATGTGATGCTTAACGAAGAATCTTCAGATATGTATTTGGCAACAGAACTGAGATATAATGGACAATACGATAATCTTTTGTACTTCTTTAAATATATGTATGAGAAGATTCATACTTTATATGATCATGACAAATTATTAGCTTACAAAAGGCCACTTTTGTAACACTACTTAATTATTCTTATATAATATTGTATAACAAAATTAATTTGTGATAAAACTGATGCATCGTTTTATACAAAGACTGGTACTTATTTCTCTCCTGTAATCGAACATCAAAAATGAAGTCTATTCCTCATGTTGAAAAGTAAATCCTTGAGAGGATAACTACAAAGTTAGGGAACTGTCATACCGTCGTTTACAATTACACCAGTGGTCTATTCTTTATATGTATTTTGTCATGTTCTAACTTATTGCACCAGTTCAGCAGTGCTGCTATAAAGAACGGACGAATGATTGAATTGTTCTAACTTTCATATTCGTATTGTAAGCATGAAAATATTCGATAGAATGATGCATTATCAACCGTCGTCCCGACAAGAAAAACTTCGCCGTTATATTTACCACATCGTCTATTTGCCAAATAACAACGCAAAGGGATTCAAAGACCGTGACAGCGTTCGAATTCTTGCCATCTCCTAATTGCCCGGTCGTTCCCTGCGTTTATATCGCTGATAAACGTCAGATAAACAATAACAAAGATAACCTACACCGAAGCGTCTGGTGGCCGGCGGCGTGTAGAGGGGGACGGAGGGGCAGGGCGGGTGCACGGCGCATAGAAGGTTCCTAAACAAGCGGGAGGCGGCACGCCGCACGGCTTCGACGCGAACAGTAGCGCGCTCTGACGTCACACGCGGTGCACTTCACCCCGTCCTCCCTCGCGTCCGTCGCGCGCGGCCGTAGCGCTCGCAGCAGTTGCGGCCGTCTGCGATGAGTTTAGTTTTGAAAACAAGGGGCCGCCCGCCGCTCGCCATCGCACGTCGTCGTCGTCGTCGCGCTCGCTCCGTGTAGACGAGGCGCTCGGTCATACGTATCGTGAACGGATCGACCGTAAGTGGACCGCCGAGGATCGTGCCGTGTCGTGCCGTGGACGTTTATCGCTTCTTCCGTCCCTCTTTCCTGCACGCATACGTACGTACATCCGTCCCTCCGTTCACTCGCTCACTCTCTTTCCTTTTGCCACCGTGCCCTCTTCGTCCTCCCGTTTCCCCGATCGTCAGCACCTCCCACACTCCTCGCGTCTCTCTCCGCGTGACCCTTCGTGTCTACGTTGAGCGAAACGTGACCGACACAAAAAATGGACGCCCTACGGGAGCAGGTGATGATCAATCAGTTCGTGTTGGCCGCGGGCTGCGCCAGGGAGCAGGCGAAGCAGTTGCTACAAGCGGCGCATTGGCAATTTGAGGTAAGAAAACAAGACGGGCGGCGAGCGAGCGAGAAAGAGCGTGTATGTATGTGTATGTGCGGTGAAGTGGGCAAAGAGAGAGACGGAGAAACAGGATGAGAGAGAGAGAGAGAGAAGATTCTTATGCGCCTTTAGCGGTGTGTAGCATGCACACATGCACCTACGTGACGACATAATAACGCGCGTGCGATACACTCTCTCTCGCTTGGACGCCGCTACGTAAACAAAGCGACGAAAATGGCCGATCTCGCCGTTGTCTGAATTTCCTACGTCGGTCGTTCACGGAGCAACGGTGACACGGCGACTCGTCGTCGATCGGCGGACACTCGATGGGCTATACCCGAATCGATGTCGATTTCTACGCCGCGGCCGGCATCGTAACATCGCCGCGTTCGACGTCAATGAGCACGCGGCGTAGCCGCCTCGGTTCGCTCCATTCATAAAAATCCGGCGTTAATAGCAGCGGGTTTAAATCGCTGCACGCGATTTCCCGGTGCGCAACAACACCGTCCTCTCCGCCCGTGGAAAGATTCGCGACGGCCGTAATCTCGCGAATCCTTATCAGATCACGAACGCTACAATCGTCGTAAAGCGTCGCGCGAAACGGCGAGGGTAAATAATGGCTCTCACGCGCGCGTCTCGTCATCGTCGCCGTCGTTTCCCCGGTTTTATCGGTTTCACCGCGCCCGGTGCGAACGCACTCTTCCTCGCGGCGGCTGCGGAGATTGAAGCCGGCCTTGCGATTCCGGCGCGTTCGATTTCCGATGCGGCCGGCCGCGCGAAACCGGCGTGCTTCCGCCTATCGTCGTTTCGTTTGTCGCAAATAGATATAGGAACGCTGTTCGCGAGAATGGCATCGCGCGTTGCTTCTCGTGTCATATACCGTGAATAATCGTGAGAGTGTACATACAAAGAGAGAAAGAGGGAGAAAGAGGGAGGGGGAAGGGAGAGCTGAAAAGATAACGATGCGACGCGCTCATGTATCATTATGATCAGAGCTCGTGGAATCTTTTTGTGTGCTTTGACCACAATGTAAACAATGCGGCAACGTGTATTTATATACACGCGTGGAACGCGCGCGCGCGCCTCTCTCGCCTCTTTCGTAGCGCGATATGCGGGGTTTCACCGTATTATGCTGGGTCTTCTAACATGACGATACATCCTGTGAAATAACGATTCTACGTAAAAAGAAACTTGATAAACAAATAAAAAAATTTTTCAGATGATCGGTCGCGTGGATTTTTTGTCCGGATAATATTACCCGTTTATTTAAATCCAGAAGATGGCTCGAAGATGAAAAAAAATCTTGAGAAAAAGATTGACATTTCGTGCTTTTTTACGCTTTTTCAATTACGTCTTACACGCACGCACCATGCCATTTCGTAGCAATTTTCCTCTCTCTTTCTCTCTCTTTCATCCTTTTCGCTCCAAAGTCCCGAGTATATACTTTTATTTTGCGTTACGTATAGAAAGTGTAAGTAAGTACAGCTGAAAAGAACGTACACAGTAGCGAGCCCACCATCGCTCCTCTGTTATTCCTTTCGCTGCGGCGCGTCTCTTCCCCGCGCCTCTCAGTTCGACCGAAATACGAAACGCGTTCCTGTTCGCCGCTCCGACCTATTACATTCTTATGCTAATGCTTATGTCAATGTATCCGGATCGTGTATCACCGTGTTTTAATTAAAACGCCGCCGTGTTTGAATGTCAACGCCGGTGTTGCGCAACGCGTTCGCCTTGTTGTAATGAAAACAAGCGCCTAACTATTGCTGTTCTGACGCCTTTAATTCATCGCACAACGTCGCAACGGGAAAGAGAGAGTGGGGAGACAATACATTATTCTTATCGGTTATTATCGAGTAAATATCGTTGTATCGATGTGAAATTACATATTCCGTGGAAAATGGATGTGTACGAATGCAAATGCAATATGCGGATATCTCTTTAATCACTGCATGATACAGATAATTTGTAACGTTATGACTCAACATATGTCAACATACACGTAACGTTTGCTCACTCAAGCCGCGTGAGTGCTTCACGCATTCCTGGACACTCCGACGTGTAGAACACCAATTAACGCGTCGAATAACAAGATTCACCCTCGACGAGATTTTCCACTTGATCTGATAAAGGTCTGACGAGACCCACGGCGTTCACTGGTCAAGATGAGTTGTCTGTACATATGTAATTATCGATACATCCCGATAACCACCGATAACCGGCGCAGCGTTAACATTAAACGCACGTGGTGTTGTAGCGGTTATCAGCGATTATGAACCGTTAGCCGGTGGTTTTACGCTAGCCGGATAGTGTGTGTGTGTGTGCGCGCGCGCGTACGGATATCCGATACGTGGCTGAGCGCAAACATCGGACATCGATACTGTTAAATATCCGATGAAAAGGCGACTTGGGACGAACGAAAGATTGCGACAGACGCATCAGTGACACATCTGGCAGTTGTTTCGTTTAGCTCGATTACGTCGTCGTCCTCGCAGCTCCTAATCATAGACGCGACTGTACACGATCCCTTGTACCCCATCAAGGTCGGCCTTGATGAAGCCTGCGGATACGAAAATGGTATCGACACTGTATCCCGATATTTAAAGAGGTTGTAAGGCTCAATGTCGTATTTTCAGTGGCGCATTAAAAGGCGTCATTCATAAATTTAATATTCATTCAGCAAGATTGCGTTCCTATACGTTTATTTCATCATCTAAATAATAAATGTTAATTCGAAACGATTGCGACGTTGTGCGATGAATATATACACACGAGATTACAAATATAAAAATATTATCATTCTTTATTTTTGTTATTGACGATATATTTATGCATGAGGAAGACGCATAGATAATGGAAAGTAGTATATGTTTAAATATGTGCATACATTTGTATTCCGAGTATTACCGTAAACTTTACTGCAGTTTCAAAAACGAAATTGATTGATTCAACAGCATTTTTTCCGTAGCGCACGTTTTATCGGATTTTTATTAAACTCATTTCGCCTTGCAACTTCCTTAACACATGTTTTTCCGATACTTAACACACATTCACGCGGAAAATAATTAATCTTATACGAAGATAGATATTCTCATGTATGAACAAGAATCTTATAACATTCTTAAAAGATTTTTAATCTTGAATTTAATTGCTTATTTAATACCTGCATCAAATTCATACAAATTCAGCCAAATCGGGACTAAAAACTTTCTAAGAAGATTATAATATTCTCGCTTATACATGAGAATATCTGTTCATGATTTAGGAATAATTTTTTTTGTGTACGTTCTCATACATACACACACTCTCTCCGTTAAAGATAGAACATATCTTCGTCAACGGTAAGAACGATGAGACATGTGTGAGCTGCGTGATGGATTTTCTTATACTTCGTTCGCGTTTCCGCGGCGATCGCGCCGGCAAGAGCGCACGCGAGCGTTTCTAATCGGGCAACTCTAACGATCGTGCTTTCTCTCTTTGCAGACCGCTCTCAGCATTTTCTTCCAAGAGGCGGCGATACCCTCATGCGCGCAAGGAGCCGGCACCCACTTCGGCCAAGTAAGTTTACTTCCGGTATTATTATCGCCATTACGAAACACGTAACGCGGACCGCGCGTTTATATCCGCGGCGCCTCCGCGCAATCGATGAGTTCTATTTCTGCGTCAGTGAGTGAGCGAGTCATCGTCGTCGCCGCCGTCGTTCCGTTCCGCCTCTTTTTCTCGTTCTTCTTCTTCTTCTTCTTTGCAGACGTGAGAAGAAAAGTCAGGACCTAGCGAGACGAGGTCGTCGATGGGTCTGTCGTCTCGAGAGCGTCCTGTCAAGATGCGTAGCCTGATCTGTAACGCGAGATGATCGCTCGTAAGCCCGAGACGCAGCGGGACAGTCCAAAAGTACGACACCATCCCGGCCGTTTTTCTCATTCCCGTACCGCGCAATCTGACGTAACGCGCGTGTTAAACTTTCGGCGGACGAGTGGCGTGCGTGGACCGTGTATGTTCTCATCCTCTATTGATTATTCAAAAGTAGGTTCCGTGCGCGCAAGAAAGATAGAGAGAGAGATCGCAGGCTGGCGAACTCCGGGATACGTCCTCCTTGCCGTCGTTCTTCATTGTTATTATCGTCGTCGTCATTCGCTCATTCGTTCGTATCGGGGGTCGCCGACGCGATTCACAAAATCGCGTCTTCCGAGCCCCGCGCACGCCCGCGTCCTGATGCGCATATAGTACAACGGGGGAGTATATACGGGAGAAAATCGATCGTAGCGCGTGTCTGACCTTCACGCGTGCTTTCCACCCCTTCCGCGACTATTTATGTAACGTCGCGTTCTCTGATTAATTACTCGCTCTCGCGTGCGCGGCGACCGGAGAGAGCCCTGCTCTCTTCGCCTCGCCTTTTGTACTTTCAGGCTGGTCATACACAAGGTCGTCGTGTGTGACGCCCGTGACGCCGTTTCCGCGGCTCTCGACGAGACGCTCGAATTCGGACCGACGGACGGCAGATAATTCGATTGTTTCTCTCCGATGAGGAGAGCCGCGCGTGAATTCGCGATTTATCGCCGTTTTTTTTTCCGGTGAGACGCCTTTAAGCGACCCGACCGATCTACCATTTAGCTCTCTTTTCGCGCGCGTTGCTCGCCTTTTTGCACGCGTGATCTGGCTTGTGATCAGGCTGCGAGAGAAAGAGAGGAAATCTCCGACGTTCTATACGGAGCGTCCGGTAATAGACGCACGTGGTGGCGACGTTCGTTGTCGGAAACTAAAACGATCCGTCCTGAGGAGAAAAAAACGCTCGAGACGTGAATAGGAATTTTCGGACTGTGGGACCCGATCGAAAGGAAGTTCGTCCCGATTCTCCGCGCACCAGCGCGATACGAAGAATAAGAATGAAAAGAACGGTTCGTCGTGTCATTCTTCGGCCGATTTTACTTCGTCTCGCCGTTTTGGTAAACGCGGAAAAAGCATGTTCGCGACGTTCGCAGAAATGCCCGATGGCGGTAGAAAAATCTAACTCGAGTTCCCGCCGAGGAAAATAACGTTCCGTTCACCAAATGCACCCGTTACCTAACACTCTGTATATATGTCTTGGCTTCGCCATTCTCCGGCGAAGTTTACCGCTCTCCGCCGCCGTTTGCCGCATTCTGGATTCGAGAGAGAGAGAGAGAGAAAGAAAGAGAGCTCCCGTGTTTTCTTTCTCCGGCTTCTAAGACGGCTTCTCGCCGGGCTAAATGAAAAGCGAAAAAGCGGGTCAATGTTAATGATTTTTTTGTTTTCGAGCGTAACGACGCGCGACTCGCAATTCATACACTCGGAAACTTCCACGTTAAAATAAATCGCGAAGTCGAGCGGGCAGATAAAACTTATCGAGTTGAGTTACAACATAAATCTTTTATCTCTCTTGTTCGCTCGCTCGCTTCTTATGCTTACATAAAAATACCTCACACGAAGCCTAATTCAACGTGTCGTTATTATTAACGATAATACATTTATTCCTATTGTTACCGACGACGCAATGTGCGATTCGCGCGCGTTTTCTCGCGCAAAACTCGTTCGAGCGGATACCCGATTGACCGTATAATAGACAGTCGGAAATTTGTTTTGAATAAATGCAAGGTCGGACCGCGGGAACCGGTTCGAAAGGTCCCGGTTGTAAAGGGCTCGCCGACGTGGCGCCCGGTAGCAGGTGTCAATAGCAGCGGTATCCCGTGCTATCATGTTTACGACGTTTATCGCTGCCTTACATGCGGGGGAAAAACATTGCGCAGGACACAAACTGTCGCGAAACGTCATGCCTCTTGGACAATACATAAATGTTTCATCGTGCGTCATCATGTGTCATCGTGTGTCATCGTGTTGTCATAAGGGATATTTTTATTTGTTTTCTTTCTCCTTTTCTTTCGTAATTTACCGACGAGTGCCGCCGGTAGAATTCGCGAGATATTCGCGGAGGATCGCTTATTTCAACGTCGAACGAAGGCGAAGGTGGTGTTCTCGCGACAGGACACACGAGGGAGAGAGCCGGGCAGACGGAGAGACAGTCGCCGTGCGCGTTACTATTCTCGGTCCGGCGGCGGCACATTCCGATAAGTCGTGTGCCAAATCCCGGTCGGAGACTGGACACGCGTCGCGACAACACCACTACCTACCTTCTAAACACGTTCGTGACTACTTTTTTACGGCTGCCGCGGTATCACCGCAGTAAGTAAAGGGAAAGTCACGACACCGAACTATGATGCGTCATTGATGTGCGCATGTGTGTGTGTGTGTGTGAGAGAGAGAGAGATTGTGCAAATCTGACCTTTATTCGCACCTGTTTTCGGCGGTCGACTCCTCGTTATCATCAGATCTACACACGACTTTCTCATGATCACACGATTCACGAGAATGGAAGTGTCGGAATTTCGAAGCCGTATACAGCGGCCTCGGTCGATCCTCGATCATTATCTCATCGATAAATCCTCCCCCCTCCCCCTCCACGTGAACGGTTCATTCATAAAAGCGGAGGTGTTACAGGATCCGTTTTACGGGATACCATAATCAACGGTGCCGTAATAGGGCGTGCTATTTTCTCTATTTAATTACCAGCTTATCGCTCGCGGGTTATCGCGCGGCCGTTCGTTGTCACGCCAGTACACGTGTCCGCCGCGTATTGTTTGGTCGTCGCTATATCCGCGTTTACCTGGTGGCCCGGACATCACGTGCGGGACAGGTTCGACGACCTCGTTGCGTTGTTACCTAACAGACGTCTCTCGACTCAGCGCATCCAGCAGATTTCTGTCACCTCGTTGACAGCCGGTTTTTCCCCATGATATCCATTTTTTTTCTTCGCTCGCAACTCTCGAGCAGCATGTCCTGTCTTCTCCGGTTGAAGTATCGGTCGACTTGGAGGAAATGAGATTACCGCAGAAATGAGATTACCGTATATAGCTAGAAAGGGTTTTAATGAACTCTGTGCTCGAAAGTTTCAAGGGTCGTCTACAGTGGAGGTAGTAAGACTATCGGAATAAGAAGTAAAGGGCCGTCTACATTTGGAAGTAAGGAGTAGGATTTTGGCTGACTGTAAAGTAGCAGAGAATAGGAAATGAGAATGATCCATTTCGCTTACTCCTTGTATCACGCTTTATTCCATCGGAAAAACTTATTCCCCACTTTGAGTTTTTATTCCCCACAGTCTCATTATTTCCACTGTAGACGGCCCTTGATGAATTTTAAGACTGATTTGGGAATTGCGAAATTAAGGGGAGAAGCACATCTCTTCTCTCGTTGTTTTCACACAAGATAAAAGGAAAAAAGACGATTTTACGATCAACGGTGATTTCTTATGTTTGCAGATCACACCATGCAACACGCCAGCCACTCCGCCAAATTTTCCAGACGCGCTGTTGGCGTTCTCGAAAATGTCAGCCGGTGACAAGACTCCCTCTGGTAAGTGGATGATCGAGATAATTTTACATACACAGCGAGATATATTTTCTCTGTGCAACATTTATATCCATGCGAAATCACAAAGGAGTTACACGTGTTTCACGGGAGCGTTTTCAAGCGCACGGTGGTATGTTGCAGGTATGTCACCGAGCCAGAACGGTTTGCAGACAAACTCGTCGGCGTCTGTGGCGGCGGGCATGCAACACCATGCGGCCGCCGGTGGCCGGTGTAGCGCGTCCGGGAACGCTCAACAGCAGACGACGCAGCCCCAGCAGCAGTTCGGCTTGGGAGAGCCGCAGAGATAAAACTGACCCGGTCCTAGTCGGCGATGCGCGATCACGAATCCACGTAGTAGACGCGCGCGATAATATTCCCGGGGCGAGAATCGCGCGCTCCGACACAGCGAGAACAGGACGTTTTAGAAAGGAGACAAACGTACGCGGGCGATAGAAGGAGCGGATAACGAGAGAGAGAGAGAGAGAGAGAGAGAGAGATGTCCTTTGAAGAGACGTTTCCTGGAAGGAAGAGGAGGAAGCGACAGGAAAGAGGAGCGCGTCCGCGAGAAGACTCTTTATTGAGGATTGAAGACTACGTTAGCTACGCACAATAATAAAACGACGTTTGTGATTGCATGCTCTCACTACCTACGTGCGTGTATGTGTGCATCATGTACGTGCGAAACGCGCGACAGTACCCGAGTGTCGATTTTCCCCTACTACGATGACGATGACCTAGACGATGACCACGACGCTGCCGCCGTCTGTCGTCCAGCGCGACGACGACGCGCGTGTCTCGATCGCCGTTTATCTCCTCCTCGGCTACCTCGAGAGACACAGCGACAGAGAAGGGTAGTCTTCGCGGTAGTCCGCTTCTACTCACGGCAAAAGCACTCGAGAGGCAAGGGCCAAGGGGTGAGGATCATTTTACGGAACCGTCGAGGTCTCCCTTGTCCAGCTGTCTCCGTTTTACTTCTCGGATTTTCTTGCCTTCTCTCCGACTGAAGTGTAGATCCAGAAGGTCGATCGAGAAGCGAAGACATCGACGTGTCCCAGAGAGAGAGAGAGAGAGAGAGAGAATGATCGGCTGTCCAACGTACGGCTGCCCTTCGCTCCGCGATCCGACTTCCTTGTAGTCCCTTGTCGCTATTAGATACGCGGCTGTTTCTCCAAGATTCGCTGTGCACACACACACACACACACACACACACACACACACACACACACACACACACACACACACACACCTTCGCTTTCGAGTCGAATGTGAACTTTCGCTAACACTTCCACGCCACAGTACAAAGGAGCTCCGCTGTTGTGAGGGGCATATATATAGTTTTAGTTTTCTCGTCCCATTTTTGGATATGGTCGTCGCATTTGTTTCTTTTCTCTCGCGGAGGATGAGATAGCAATCGTCCGCTTGTTTCACATGCAAGATATATCGCAAATAACCCGCACCCAATTGCTGCTGCTGCATCACCCGGCAAGGCTGTTCATTTGATATCGTAATGCTCGGCTGGTCGGTTTCACAATTAATTACTCATCTTTTCGTCGTTTACCTATGTAGCATGCTCGCGGTACGCGCGTTATTATTCACGCCGGACGGATTACGTTTCCGTACGTATAAGCGTGTATTTCGATGGTATAAAATATACGAGGCTAAATGTAATTAAACGAAGATCTTTATCGTGTAAAAATTTGTAAAAAGATTCCCCTCGAATTATATAACGTTCATCTAGGCGTTTTACGTACTAATAACTGAGATCCGAAGGATCGCGTGAATGATAAATGAACGATAGAAAGAGAGAAAGAGAAAGAATGAGTGAGTGAGTAAGAAAGACAGAGAAAGAGAGAGAGAGAGAGATGTACTCATCGAAACTAATAATAATATACCTGGTGTCTCTCTTTCCTGGTTTCCGCTGTTGCGACGAACAGCGAAGACTTCTCAGTTTTAATTTAATGTATATTTCGTCGACTAATTGCGATAACACACACACATGCGCGACTAGAGATTATAAACTACCTGTTTTATGCAATATTAGATTCTTCTTCACGATATTCACAAACGCTCTCGTCTGGCAGCTGACGATACAATTCTACCTGAAACAGTATATCAAATCGCTCCATATCGTTCGTTGATATTTATCCTAACATAGAGGAACAATTATTCGTTACTAGCATCCATACTTGTTTCTATATGTTTATGTTACATAGTAGCGAATTTTTTCAGATTACTTTCTCGCTGGACGTCTCTTGTAATAGGTATTAGAAGAGTTTCTTTCCTTATCATTCATGTCTGACGTTTGTAAAGTGTTTTTACACACAATATAGTATCTGATCTTTTCATACGTAGTCGTAATAATAGTCTCGAAGAAGGTTGATAAGGATCGTGCGAGAGTCCAAAGTGGACTTAACTTCTTTACGATCATGCAATAGTTCCAGATTACCCAGATATCGCATACAGCTTCGTCACTGTGAAATCGTTTTTATGTAAATAATAGTAGATATTAAGCGTAAGAAAAATACTTTGTGAGTATGAGATATTTTTTCCACGCTTTAAATACCTTCCTTATGTTTGTAACGTTTAGGCTATTTAAGATAGATGAGAGAAAGAGAGAAAGGAAGAGAGAGAGAGAGAGAGAGAAATATGAACTACTATGTTGAAATTATAATATTACTATTATTGTTTATTTGACTATTAAAGACAAATAAAAATGTTCATGTACATAATTTTGAAGAATTAAATAAAATATTAATAATGGTGCTTTTTTTCTTAGCCTTGCGAAGTTCAGTTTCACTTAAACTTTCGTATTTTCGAATTTTGGAACAGCCACGTGCTAAAAGTATATTATAAAAAGATCTATATACATTTATATATACGTATAAAATTTTAGAGATCACTTTTTCCGATCACGAAAAATAGTTAAAATTTAACGGGCCGCGATTTCTGTAAAAACAACGGTAACGAAGTAATGATTCGGGTAAAAGTTCGAGTAAGAGCGCGTCTGACAATGTTGTTGAACAGTGAGACGTAAAATGAAACAATATACACATGTACAATTTCGAGCGCGACGCAACGTACGCGTGCCTTATGTGCAGTCTGTCCAAACGGTTCATAGACAATAATTTTTCCAAAAGCATATATTTAATTATCAGGTACATCTCGGGTGCATCTCACTCTCAGAATATTCGCTTTGCAAAATCGCACACTTATTGTAGCGTCTCTTCCATCGAATCCCTGAAATCTCTCGACAGTCATCGTCTTCGGAATACGTGTCGGTTTTTCCTTGATGATTTTCCGTTCCCAGACCGAGAAACGTTAATCGAGAGGAAAACACCGACCATTAACGATAATAATCAGCGAGAGTTCAAACCTATACATACATATATATATATTTATGTATGTATTATATATATATTGCTATTTGACGGGAAAGAATAAATGTGTACGAGCTCTTTGGACAGACGCGGCATATCCTGCGAGAAGAGCCATGGAAGTTACTTCTATACAAAAAGTTGCGACACGATAATCATACGTAACTTAAATTTCTCCCTTTAACGGTCCAAATTTTCGCTTCGTAGTAATAAGTCGCAGAGTATTAAGAGCTGGTAACTATCCTGTATCACCTTTTGTACTCGCGCGAGCACATCTTTGTTTTATCACGGTACAAAGTATTAAGTTAACAGCTGATTTACGCGGAAACGTGCGATTCTCGTCCTTCGAAGTCTCGTTACAATACATGCGTAGAAAATGCATATGTACATCAGCTACGAGCGTGTCTGTATATACGTGTAAAATCGCATCCTATCCTTAATCTTTGGGAATGGCATTCAAGATGTAGTCTCGACACCTTTTCCGAGACCCGACCATCTGTCGGGCACCGGCAGGAAGTAACGGTGCATAGCGGCTATGAACCTGGCGCGATACTCCTCCGGCGATATTATAGTCGGCAGTTTACCCTGACCGCCCAGTATGCCGGACTTCTTTACCATGGTCTCGAGCCTCTTGTCCCAGGTGAACGTTCTTATGTAATCTGCCAATTGAGAAAACGAGTAAGGCCAACGTCGAGTGACACCTATCCGAATTTTACACTTCCAGAAGAGTGTAACTGGTAGGAGTCGGGAATGGAGAGCAAACCTCTGAGAAAATGGGAGATCTTATCCGTACCAAGCGGCGCTTACCTATTATACCGAGCACGAGTTCGTCGGAGCTCGGCTCCAAGCCCACCAACAGGGAATAGTCCATCACGGAATTGTCCGCTAGGAACTTGGTGTCTTGCTCGATCGCTCGGTTCAACACCGCCTTGGAATGCGAGCGGATGTACAGGGGGGAGTCGCAGCTCACTGGAAAATTCGCGCGCTCCTTATGCCTCAGGACAACATGGACGACGCGCGAGGCGTTGCACACGGATCGCACGAGTACGTACTGTTCAGCAGGTTCTCGTCGAGCAGGACGAGCTCGCCTTCGTGGCAGGTCTCGTCCGGATTCACCAGGCGATTCCTCACGGATCCCTTCAAATCGAACTTGTCGGTGATGATCCGGTTGTAGAAGAGATTCTCCATCACCAGTACTTTGATGTGGAGCGACGCGTTGGTCGGGTTGTTCCTGAACGACATCTTGTACACGCCGACTATCTTGCCGAGCAACGTCGGCTGCTTGGTCTGCTGGCACTTCTCCATGTAGGCGAAGTAATTCGGCGCGAAGTTCGAGAAGATCTGCATCTCGACCCGGGACATCTCCTTTATGATGAACCTGTCGTCTGTAACGAGAAACGGGCAACCGGCTAATTATTGGCCGCACGAAACGAAGCCATGCCCTTCGTCGCTCTTACCTCTGGTCTTGCAGAAAGCGCTGCCGCTCTTGCCGCCTTTCGCCGCCCACTGCACGCTGCGACTCAGACTCCTCGTGTAGCCGTCCTCGCCGCACGGCAGCACGTTCTCGCGCAGAGCGGCGAATTGCGCCGCGAAGTATATCCTGCAGAAGAACATGGTGGTGGCGTCGTTGAACTGCACCTCGATGTAGTTCTGCTGCTTGATCGTCCTCTTGTCGTCGTCGAGGGGCTCGCCGGTGCCAGCGGTAGCGGCGGCGTTGCTCGACTCCACGCCCGACACGCTCTTGTCGGACTCGATGGGACTGTTAGCCAGGTTGGGACTGTTGCCACGGAAGAAGGACAACACGGACGGCCGCTTGAACTCGCTCGACTGCAGGAGGTCGAGCGAGCTGTCCCTGTCCTCCGGCAACTTGCGTCTGCTCGGCTGCGGGCTCGGGTTGAATTCCGACCCCTTCGTCGTGCGACATTGTTCCTGCAGCGCGTGCTTGTAGTCGTGCGAGTCCAGCGCGTACGCGATTATCGACGACGGCTCGGACTCGTAAACTACTATGGGAACGACCGAGCTGCAACAGGAAAGCAGGAGTCATTTTACATATTCAGAAATTCCTGGAATCAGATAACTTATTGTATTAAATTACAGAGAGAGAGAGAGAGAGAGAGAGAGCTACGTACCCGAGCGGCAGCAAGTAGTGCTCGAGGGGGCCGAGGGGATTCGTTATCGTGTGATTGACGGAGACGGACGGCAGCAATTGCGACAGGATCGTCTTCTTCTTCTTTTTCTTGTCGGACATGTCGTCCGACGAGAGCGGCAGCACGTCGGAATGCGATCTCTGGTGCATCTTGGGCGAGCCCTGATTCCCGGCCTCGTCGGGATTATTCGCGGACTCGTTGTCGGAGTTCTCGACCAGCTCGGTGGACGCTTGGAAGTCGGTCTGCTGCATGGCCGTGATCGCGTCCACGGCGTTGTAGTCGGCCGACATCGGGCTGAGGTCCTCGAGCTGCGACTCCGACGCGGTGTCCTCGGTGATGTAGCCGTCGGTGTCGACGATGCTGTTGCTGCCGGCGGTCAGGGAGCGCTCGGTGAACCTGCGCGGTCGCTCGTCCTTCCTCTTGGTGGACATCATCTCCGACAGTTTGTTGTTCCACGTGAACACGGCCTCGGCGATGAGCCGTTTCAGTATCACGATGCCGTCCTCGATCCTGAACATGAGCGCCTGCACCTGCCTCTCGGAGGTCTTGCCCTCGAGTCGCTTGTTCTCCAACGTCGGCGACGTCAGCTTCAGCTGGATCTCCTCGATCTTGTTCTTGAAGTACTGCTGATCCTTGCTCAGCTGCTGCTTCGCGATGTTGAGGCTCTCGAGGTCCTGCTGCAGCAGCTGCGTCAGCTTCTCCCGGATCGCGGAGAACACCTCGTCACCCTTGAGCGCGAGGCTCTTCATCTCCTCGATCACGTTCGCGTGCTGCTTCGGGTCGTAGATGACGTTGATGAGCGGCGGCGGTAGCGAGATCTCCCACTGGGAGATGCGCGAGAACTTGAACACCGCGAGCATGCTCTTCCGCGTGAAGTACTGATAGTAGTCGTGGTGCAAAGAGTGCTGGCACGCGTCCGCGCCGCGTCTGGTGTACACGCCGCCGTAGAAGCGCAGCTCGAGGTACTTGGCGAACGACAGGCACCAGGTGTCGCCTGACATCGGCACCACCGGCGACACGCTCTTGCAGCGCATGCACTTGCTCCATACGAGGATCTGGTCGTCGTTCTCCTGGACGAACGGCTCCGTGCTCATCTCGCTCAGGCTGATGTGCACGCAGCCGCCGTCGTGCGCGAACCGGCGCACGTGTTGAGAGATCTGGGCGCGGCACGCCTGCGCCGGACACTTGTACTCGGTGGTGAGGCAGTAACGCTCGAGGAAGCGGCCGAGCGCGATGTCGTTCTGCCCGTACATATCCATGTTTACGACCCAGGGGTTCACGCAGAACGCCGGGGTGTCGTTGCCGGTGTGCGAGAAGCTGCAGAACAGTACGGCCAGCCGTTGGTGGCTGCCGGGGTCCAAGCAATCCGGCCACGCGCCGATCTGATCGTTGCTGCTCTCGGCCGGCGCTGAGGACGGCTGCTGGAACAGTACGTTGTGCGTCGGGTAGAGCCGACTGCCGCACGCGCGGAAATTCGCCAGCATGTTTTGCGCATCGCGGCCGTCGTAGCTGGTGAGTCGCGCCTGCACGAACGGATGCTGCGACTTCAGACGCATGCTCGCCCGCGGATTGTCCAGGACGTGCTGCTCGCTCACGCTGTTCGCGCGGGTCTCCTTCACCTTGTCGAGGAACTGGGCGGAGTAGTAGATCTCCCGCGGGAAGAAGCTCCTCAGCAGGCAGTTCCTGCCGAGCTCGGTCTCCAGGTACGGGATGGAGAACTTGAGGTAAGGTGAGACGCTCAGCACGGTGCCCTCGAGCGACTTCTTGAACTTGTTGAACAGCGGAAACTCGGCCACGCTCAAGCACTGGCCGCTCGGGCTGGTGCGATCCAGCACGTTCCCCTCCTCGTCCTCCTCGTTGAGGTACTGGTGCAGCGGGTCGCTCCGGTCGCTTATGGACTCCCCGTAGATGCGCTTCTCCTCCGACGATATCCTGTCTTTCAATTTCGCTTTGTCGAAGAACGGCTCCTCGGTGGCTTTGGGCTGCTCGACGCACGGCTCCTTGTTGCCGAACAGCTCCGTGGCGTCGTCCTTGCTCGTCCTGCCGTCGTTACACGGAGCGGCACTGTTATCGCGCGCCGTCGACGCCGCGTTCTTCGGCTCGTGCGAGCTTGCGTGTCTCAGTTTCGTCTTGAACAGCTTCAAAGTGTCGTAAGGGTCGGAGTCCTCCGATAGCATCGACGATACTTCCCGCAAAGAGTCGGAAGCCAGTATACTTTCGGAGGAATAAACGCCGCTCTCGTCCTTTGCGTGCTGGTTGGCCGACCCGTACACGCTCTGTGGCTGCCCGTTGTCGACGTATTCCTCGCTCACTTCTGACGATTTCCTCGCGTCCGTCTGGATCTGATGCTCGTCGACGACGTGACTCTCCAGTTTCTCGGGCTGCTCCAGCCTCGGCGAAACATCCTTCTGCAACGTCTCGTCCAGGAAGGAATTGTCCTTGGGCGACGGCGGCTTGGCGAATTCGTCCATGAGGAAGGACTTTTCCAGACGCCACGAATAGGCCGCGAAGATCATCATCGCAGTGACGCTCTTCACCTTCTTCAATTCGACCTGCGAGCCGCCTCGTAATAGAATCGTCGCGCCCAAATGCGGATTCGCGCAGCCTTCAAAGTACATCAGCGTCTTGACTCCTCCTGCGAGTCAAAAGTCGAGGATTCAAGTCGGCGATTGAGAAAATCCTCATGCGACTGTCCAGCCGTCCAGTCGTCGGAAATTCTGTTCATCCGGCATGCATTTGTCTCGAGAACTTGTTGCAATTTTAACAAACGCAAGAGTATATATATATATATATATATAGGATGAAACGTCCTTCCTACTCACTTCGTTCGTCCGGGAACTCCCTCAAGTAAAACTTCTTGCACGTGCCAAGCATGTACCTGGCACTTATGTGCGCGTCTATAGTGTTCACGATGCTGGCGCCGGTGCAGCGCGCCACTCTCTTCAATACGCTGAGCTTCACATTCAAGATCAAAGTTACGCCGCACTCCCTCAGCCTGTCCTGCGCGAGTCTGGATACAGATCGATGCACGAGTACCACATCCGGGCCCAGGGCGGTGATTCTCGCTACTGTGTGCCCCAGGTACTCGCTCTCCTGCCGTGGCGGCAGATTTCAAGCGGGGGCGGGAAAAAACGGAGATGAATCGTCAAGGAAATAACGGGGAGCGAAGTTGAAAATGGGAGAAGCCGACGTTGAGAGTTACTCACCTGCAGCATCACGGGCTCCAAGCTCAGCAATTTGCCTTCCACGCGCTGATACATCAGTCCGCACTGCAGCAACAGGATCTTCGGATGCGCGATCATGGCGTTCATGCCGCGATGAGCGATGTTCTTGCTACACACCACGCCGGACACGATCTCGCAGTCGTCCCTGCTGCCACCGGGACACTTCTTGAACTGCACGTACTGCCGGATGTCCAGATTGTCGGCGTCGTGGTTCAAATCCGGCCGGACGTGGTCGACAATCTGATGCGCGACCGTCAGAATCGTGCTGGACCACGTCTGCGACAAGCCCTCCTTGCTGAGGAGCTGCTTGATGAGGGAATCCTCGTGAACTTTGTACGCGGACCTGCGACAAGCCAGTGTCGTCGTTTATTTCTCTTCTGATTTATCATTGATCTTGCTCAACGAAACGGTCCACGATTTCAGCGAATTCGTGAATCGTGAATCGAATGTCAATCGGACGATCCTTAACTGAACTCGTTGAAACCAATCTTTAATCGGTCGAATTGGATCACGCTTGTTCAAATCAGTTGTCCAATTGAGGACGATTTAATTATAATATTCTCGCAACTCTGCCGCGACTTACGTCAGGCACTCGTACGCGCTCAGCTCGCCGAAGACGGTCCTCAGATTGGTCGCTTTGTGCCAACCGTTCTTCTCCTTGAGCTCGTGCACCTGAAGAGTATCGCTCAACAGGTCGTCGCACATCTTGAGATTGCAATCGTGCGTTTTCGCGAGGCTGATCTCCTTCTGCTCGACTATCCCGTCGCTGCTATCTATGGAAATCGTGGTCAGATCTTCCGAGGTCGGTCTCTTCAAGGTAACTGTGGACGCCTCCAAGTTCAAGTCCAAGTAAAAGCTTGAACTGGACGAGGGCAAACGGCCAAAGGTCGATTGGGAAACGGTCGAGGGCACACGGCCAAAGGGCGTCGAGGTCGTCGGCTTCGTCTCGCTCTCGGAATCTAGGAACGAATCGGCCTCGTCGAATACGTCTACGTATCATCGATGAATATGAAATCGGTAACGTTACCAGTGGTGGAATCATGCTGAGGAATGGTCTTCACCCACGCCGGCTCCTGAGCGTCGCACGTTGTCTGCTTCTCTGCCAACAGATCTATACTTTGCAGGGAGGATAACTGTACCGGTTTAAATATCGTCGCGGTGTCGCTGAACACGTTGTTGTCGGCGACAACCGGCTCGATGAAGCCCGCTTCCAGCAGCGCTTGCCCGATCGCCGTCGCCTGCACGCTGCAGAAACAGGTCGGACGTAAGTCGTAATCCTAACTCAAACTGCAACACGGTTACGACTGGAGCGACTTATCGCTCGAAGATGAACTGTGTAATTAGACCGAAATTAAAGAATTATTTATCTATAGATGCGCATGTATACCGCGTGGCTGCTTTGCTCTGAGCTATCATCCAATTCACCAGCTCGTTAGCCAGGAAACAATTGTGATAACTCTTCAATCGGATCCGGTGTGTTTGCAAAGGAATGGCTTGACCAGACCGGAACAATTCCTCCCAGATCATCCGCAGGGAAGCTGAATTTTGCAACACGAGGGTACGTTCATGCGACGTTAAATAACTGTTCCCTGATCTATGACAAAGGAGTAGAAAGCGCGGTTATAGTAGAAAGCGCGGTTATAGTAGAAAAAAAAGAAAACGTGAATATTTACAGATGGGATGAAAAATCCCCTGAAATGCTATATACACGTGTAGATTAATTTATACCGTTCGGTCGCGTAATTTTCCTCCATGTATCCCACACTTGGCTTCCGACATACCAATGCTTCGTCTCCCATCGACTCGTTCGTGTGCTTTCGCGTTAACAGTGGTGAATTGTTTCCGTATTTCACCTGAAGATCCTCCTGCAGCGCCTTCAGATCCGCTGATAAATCACTCCTCATGTCTGACGATTGTAGGTAAGAAAGGACTACTTTACAGCAATATGTACAAACTCGAAGATCTCCTGCAACATTTAGACACAATGGATCGTACATGTGTAGTAGAGACATATAAACAAAATAGATCTATAATTTCCCCACCAGTGCATCCCATGATTTTCCCCGGTATCTGATCGGAGCAGCATTTCGAGCAGAAAATTTGGCCGCACACTCGACAGTGGTGTCTCCTTCGGAAAGTAGTAAACCTCTCGCCGCACTCGTAGCACTGCTTACTTACGCTGTCTGGCATCCAATAGCTTCTTAACTGAGAATCTTTGTACGAACGTAGATTCTGCAAGCCAGCGATCAGGAAAACGTCAACGAGCTGTGTCACAGTGTGAGAATGATCGGAAAACAAAATTGGCACTTACGTTACTCTTCAATGCCACAATATTGCTGATACGTTTCAAGACGTTCGGCAAACTACGACCTTCGCGAGTATCCAAGGGAAAATTTATTATGCTGGTATTATCATCGTCGGGAGTCCGTTCTGTACTTTCCGACTGCTTCCACGATTCAGAGTCCGAAGAGCTACGCTCATCATTGTTCAAGGACACTGTGGGATCACTGGTGCTCGATGGATCTAGATTAATTACAGAGCCATCAATAATCAGCCAATGAAATAGAATATTAAATCAGACAAACAGTTGACAGATATGATGAATTATAATATATAGAGATAGATATACGTGAGCGACATCGCTGTATCCTAGGCATGTGTGTGTATTATATGATATGCAGGTAAGGATACAGTGACATAACCTTCACCTGAATAGTTAACTAATTAAACGTACACTCGTGAATTAAATAAATCAACAGTGAATAATAGTTAATGAGTACTGACTCCTGGCGAAGTTGAAGAACCTGGAAAAGAGGGACGCTACGACAGGCTGGCTCTCTTCGGGACTCAACGGAGCGAACTCCGTGAGTTTCGACGGCGAGTTCATGTTCTTGTTCATCTCATACGCCGATACTACCTACTGACGTGCATCTTGAAAATATGGATGATGCAGCTCGCACCGTCTAGTGACACATTTTTCCTCCCGCAAGCACCGTTGAGCCGAGACGATCCGTCGCACAAGTGAGACAGACCGATGCGAATAGAGTTTGTCAGATGTCAGATGCTTCACAGAGAACGCAGGAGAGTGGGGATGAGTTACGTGCGCGTGCGCGGTAACGCGCAGCAGACGCTCTCACGTCTTACGATCACGCTTATGTCTACGCGCGTCAGATGTCGCGGCGAATACCTCGCTTCCGTTTCTCTGAGAGTATCGAATATTTACGATAGGTGGCGCCGTCAGAGGAAACCGTTAGCGTTGTTCATTTGATTTTAACTGTAATGTGGACGAAGGGCGTGTTATTAGAGACTGACGACTTATTGCTGATAACGAGATGGTTGGTCTTTGTTGCAGAATTGATTTCATAGTTTATTATTAGCCCAACGTTTTATAGATAAGTGTATACATTTAAGATGCGGTAACGTTATTGCAAAACTATGTCTCTTACACATACACACTGTCACATGCTTATTATTATACACACACACACATACACACCTATACCCATACATATTCATTTATTCACTGTCTCTCATTTTTTATGTTAGATTTGAGTGATAACCGTGAAACCTTTTTTCAGGTCTGATCCGGTAGTTTATAGTATTTTTGCCGATGGCTGCAGCTTTCACGGGTTTCCGTTTCTTCGCGTCTCTCCCTCTCCTTCTAACGAACATACATTTGTTTCGTACATAAAAAAAGCCTGTAAGCAAATCAGATGCTGACGCAGCTAATGCATATAGGCATTTACTTTCATGTCACCGCGGGGCGTCACGATGAAATCCCAAGTAAAATTATCACTCGTCTATCTTACATTATTATTCAAGAGTACGATAACCCAATTTGTACTCGCAACACTCGCCGGTATCCTAGAATTTTTTAAAGGTATCGTTTGAGCGACAATTCAAACTCGCAGCACGAGTTGCCGCGATTCTAATACACTCAAAGGATATGTGGTTCTTTTCTGCTGAATTGAGTTCGAGAAATTTATATGTTGAAGAGTATCAGTACATGTAAATTTCTTGAACTAGTGCAACCATTTTAGCTAAAAAGAACAGACCAATGGTATCGCCTCGATATCCTGCCTCAGATATCCAGGTGTAAACTGACGGTTGATTTCGGCACACTTATTCATGGAGATATTGCTTTCGTTTGTCTGAAAACTTGTTTTTTCTGCTGTTTAGGTAAACAGTGGAGCAAGAGAGAAGAGAGAGATGCCAGCGAGCGATGCCATTCTGAGACAGGAGGGGCTTAATTACCCGTAAGTCCGGCCGACTTGGCGCTAGCCTCTTAGCCGACCATCCTATTTACCACCCTGTCCGGCGGCGAGTGCAGCAACCCCGCAGCTGCGCAGGTGTATCGCACCTGCCGGCACCTGCCTTCTTATCAACATCTCCGAAAAGTCCTCCAGTCACGCCAGAGGGAAGGTCCGGCACGGCTAGCACCCTCCGTACTCTCGTCCGACTTCATCTCGTTCCTCGCGCGACCTCGCCAAAACCCGGGGAAACGAGTCTCTCCTGTCACCGTCGCACCTCCTCGCAACCACCTGCATTCATCGGCAGGCGAACGAGCGAGCCGGGCAGGACGATGCGATGGGCGAGGGCAGAAGCGACCGTTCCGGCAAAAGGTAACGTTTCGCGGCGCACCTTCGGCGAGCGTCGCTCGAATCACCGCGTATCGAGAGCTCTCGAGCGATTCGATCGTACGTGCGTACGTACGTGGGATGCGAATAACCCCTTCGAACGCTATTCGGAAGCCGCAGCTTCGAGGAGTGTCTCGAAACTCTCGATAGTCGCTGGAGCTCATCCGCGTCTACATAGCGCGACAACAGATGTATAGTTAATTGCACGTAGATATAGTTGTGCACAGATTGTACTGCAACATAGTTGCGACTTCTCCGGCGTTTCCATGTTATTCGACACGCTCGACGTTTCTCGGAATATTCGAAGTTACGGAACTTTTTGGAATTTCCGCCGAAATTTCCTCTTTCTTCATGTTCGTAAATATCGGTTGTGCCGATTATTTATACGACGATTTAGCCGGGCTTTGAAGAGATGTTTTTCTGGAAACATACATGTCCCGGCGTAAAGATAACACCTGAATATGAGGACCTTGTTTGGGGGAACGAAACAAATGATCGTAAAATAGATCTTTCTTCTACGGTATTCCTCCTTCAAATTGTGCTCTAAATATTTCTCGTATCGTCAAAAACAAAGGGGATATTTAAGTGTTCTTCTTACGTCGGATACCCTGTATTCTTGCAACTCTACCACAGGGGAAGAAAATTTTGCTAGAACAGCAAATTGTTTGTTGATATAATGACAGCAAAAAAATTTGTTTGGACAGCGGAAAGATTTGTTAAGAGTATCAACTGCTATTTGCCGGACATATACTTTAATTAACTTTTTCCGTGTAACCAATTTTTCTCCCTTCATTATATTATATAACAAACAATTTGCTGTCCCAGTAAAATTGGTTTTCTCCGCAAACGTAAAAATCAAGAATCATCAATTTACATCTATTTTCCTTCCTTTGACTCATTTTTCTCGGAATATCTCGTTCCGTGCAATCCTTCGAACAGGATCGATTCAATAGCTCGTGAGCAGCAGGATGACGCTCGTGTATGTAATACGGCGATTTATTTTATAAGTAGTAGATAGAATCTCGTGCCGCTAATGGCGCTTCTGAAATATGTATCAGGGTATCCTACTTAGATCGCGCGCCACACACACGGAGTGCTCAGGCGAGTAATCAGCCGATTGCTCCTAACGATCTGCCGCTAATTGATATTGAGAACCGCTTATCGGTATCAATATGCGCGAGAGCTTAATTTCCCGTCTGTGCGCGTGAGACTCAATATTACTTCTAATTCGATGAGTGGCGAGCACTTTGCTCACGGAGTTGCTTTTAACTAAATGATCATCGCACCAGCCCGTTTAATCCCATTTAGCCGAATCGGTCACACCTCTGCGCAATGGTGCAAGTAATCCCCCCCTCCAAACTCGTCGATGCCGCCGTGTCCGTCGATTTAACCGACGAAGCTCGATTCGAGATCTAACCGAGAAATTTTTAATTGCTCGATGCTCGATTAAATTATCTTCTAGAAGCCCGGGCCGTCTTTCCGAATCTCGCGACGTTACACGTCGTGGGGAATACGTGTCGCAGTTGGGCGAATCCTTCGCATACGGGAGGGAGTCCGTGGAAGACCGACGATTTCGTAGCTGGTCTAACTCCGCACGGAAGAAGCGATGAGGGCCGAAGACTTTCGATGACCACGGCCTGGATTTCCCGCGAGCACACCAAGGTGGCTCGCGTGCAAGCACCGGCGGGCGCTGTAAAATGCGTTCAGATTGAATCACGCACGACAACGCGGAACAACTGACCGGGGCGACGGTGCGGCTGGCCGCGAGCTCGCGGATGCGTGCGACCACGTGGCGCGGACATTAATTTAGCCGCGCCGCTACAGAATTCGTCGTATCGTGCCGGGCTATTAGGGCCGCCCGAGTCTGTGTGTGTATACGTACGTAAATACGAGTTCACTGGGTAAGATCGGGGTCATTGGGTCAGACGGAAGCTCGGCATTACGAATCGACCGAGAAGAGCAAATCAACGGGCGGTAACCCGAGCGAGCGAGAAGGGCGAGACGAAGGAAGAAAATCAATGGGATCTGCGAAGAAAAGTAGCCGACGGTCGCGCGGCTGAAATTAACAATACTATCGTTACTTCACACGAACGGGTGAGAAAAAAGGATCGCGTGGTGGGGGGGAGAGAAAAAAAAGAAAACTGGCAGCGGTGGGATTCGAACCCACGCCTCCGAAGAGACTGGTGCCTTAAACCAGCGCCTTAGACCGCTCGGCCACGCTACCACGCACGATCCGTTATCCCCCGCACGAGTACACAGGGTCGTTCTGTCGATTGAGAACGGTTGCGCTCTTAGCTGTGTGTAACGGAGATAGCGAGATTCCAAGGTGCACAGGATGCCTCTTGTTTGCTGGCCTCGGAAAGGTAAAGATTCCGCACAGAGCAATACGTTTTCGGCTTACTTCGACCATGCTCGACTGCTTGAACGATTGTGAACAATCTTGTTTACACTTCTATTGATACCTCTTCTTAAATCATGTGTCAGAACCTCATTTATACTGCTATTTATACTTCTTCAATCTGCGTCAAATTTTCATCTTCACTTTTCTCGAATCTACTCCACGCGAGTTACGTCTTTCTCGCATAACTACGGCCGCAATTATCTGTGCTCTACCGGGTATTCTTTTTTTTCTTCTCCCCACGGTTTCGACCGCAGGCATCGAACTACAAACGACTACATAGTCTCCGACTATACGTCGGAGACGTTTTCACGGATGTCACGCTCGTCCTCGGCGTAATTCGCCGAAGGTTGACGTGCGCGCGAGCCATTAGACCGGGAGGAGATTTATTTTTCGAGCTCTACGTTCTCTCTCTGCAGATCGATTCGTCGCGTCTGGGAGAGCCGTTGTAACGGCATGCACGTACCTTCGTACCACTCTCTTCCTGTTTCTCGTCCTCCCTGTGCCCTCTCCTCGCCCGTTCTCGCCGGCCCGCCCTCTTACATCCCTAATTCGCCCGCCAACATTCCCTTCGGTCGTCTCTCATCGCCATCGGCAGATCTTCAGTAAGCTCAGGTCGTCCATCCGCAACGCGTCGCGGAACCGTTTTCACCCCGAGACTTGCGTCTCACAATCGCCGCCAGTATGAACTTTCTCAAAGCCGATAATTAATCAAAATGCTATGAAAAGATTTACAATGCAAATTATCTAGTAAATGAAAAATGCGGGGAATAAAATTATCGACGAAGCTCGCGAATAAATAAGATCAAACGCGTCATTCAACCATCATATTTAATTAAAAAGCCCGGCGAAGATCCGAAGATATAGCTTCTACGAATTTCATAAAAGAGAGATGGGGGGAGGGATTACGAATGAATAAAACGTATCTGACTGTCGGATGAAGCGAGCATCCGAGAGAAAGATCGTCATTAAACGCAGCTCCTTAACACTGTTTTGTTATCTGAATCTCGAACAGGCAAAGGTCCTCCACCCACGGCATCGGCGAGTCCTCCTCGGACTCCGAGATAGCGCGCGGCAAAGGGGGCAGAGGTAAAGCGCGCAAGAGCAAGGTCAAAGAGAGATGGCCGTTCCTCGAGGGGCTGACGGTCGACGAATTGGCTCGCTACCGGCGAAGACGCGTCCACGATCGGCCGAAGGACAATCTCCAGTCGCCTTACCGGGAACTGCCGCCGGTGCTCATCCAGGATCCAACGTCTGAGTATCAGCGCGCCTTCGGTGTGACCGTCGAGGAACCGTCCGAGGTATTCGCGGGGTGTAACGCACCTGCAAAACTCCCCGATTGTTCTCTGATATCTACTCGTTCGCATCGCAAATCCATCCCGAAATCGTCTCGTTTCTAACTCGTGGATGAGTGCCGATTCGCGAGTTTCTCGCGCGTTAATTGAGAAAAAAAAAACAATGTAAAGCGAATCTCCTTCATCCTGAATCTGTGTATGAGCGTTTTCACGGATGATATCGTGATTAATTGCCACCTATGATTTCCAGATAATCAATATTAAGAGCGTGTATATACCCGTATAATATAGGGAAATGTCTGGCCAATAAAAGGTAGCGAGCCCGAGGATCATCCGGAAGGGGTCGTCGAGGATGCGCAACTTTTGCGTCGCATGGATTACAGAGAGCGCGAAGAGATCGAGGATCCATCCGCTGGGAAGGAGGCTGCTCCCCCTCAAGTGGTTCATGGCCACGAGACGATGGAGGCGAGAACGGACGCCCCGCAGTTTTCGATCAGACGTCCGTCTCTTATCAGGAGGTAGCTATCGATCAGCCTCTCCGTGTATTCATTCTGAATGGATCGGCTGATGCTAATCAACTTCAACGATTCACTCAAATCAGTCGCTACGAATCAGTCGTAAAATGGAAATCGTCGTAAGAATAACGTAACGATACGAATAATCATAAAACACGATATAATATTGCAACGTGTGAAATTATAATACGTCGAACGATTAGAATTATACGTGAGATAATAAATCGATGACATAATGCGTAATTAAAAAGGGATGCTGTGAAGTTCTGAAAGAAACGTGCGTGGCTGAAACGTCGTTACGACGGTGAATCGTTATTTGATCACTCGATCGTTCGTTCAGCCAATTTCGCGAGGACTATCATCAATCTTTTCCTGTCGTATAGCCCCAAAGTTTAGAACGCGCCGCGCACATCAAAACCGTTCCGGGACACGCGAGTTCGCAAGCAACGCGGAAGTATACAGACAGACTGTCATGTCGCCTTAATGCGACTGTCTGTCATGCAGTAAATCGCCAACCGGAATTGGCTCCCCGCTTTCTTTCGCTTTTTTTATTGGCCCGTCGTGACGTCAGCCGAAGCACCGTTGTATATTTTGTTCAAAGCTGCGCGTTTGGGTAAATACGAATACGTAATGACGACCCGATCTCTCTCTCTCTCTCTCTCTTTCGTTGCGAATAGGGGCACCAGCTTGAAGTGCGGCGGCGACTTTTACACGGACACGGAAACGTACTCGGCGTATGTGCCGTACGAGGGCCAGCATCGGGCCGAGCTCGCGCGCCGACCCACGTCCCTGAGGATGGAGGGCGAGCTGGACACCATGACGGAGAAGTGCGAGAAGTTCATCGAGTGGCTGAACGTCAGCCGACCGGAGCTGATGCGTGTACCAACGCACTTGAAGATGGAGGGAGAGCTGGAGACGGCGACGGAGAATCACGACAAGTACATCCCGTTCGTGGGCGCAAGAAGACCCGAGCTGCTCAGGCGAAGCACGAACCTCAAGCTCGAGGGGGACACGTACTTCGTGCCGGAGTACACCGATGTGTTCAGGGACCACAGCGTCAAAGGTGATGAACGTTGAACTCTCGTCGGCGAAGAGTTCGAGCTGAAAGCGTGAAGCTTCGGCGAGACGTTTTATTCTGAAGTTGAACGGCGAAGATCACGTACAGGAAACCCCTGTAAAAACTGTGTCGACGTATATTGCAGACAGACTGCGGCCGACGAAGCCTCAGACGCACTTGAAGGCCGGCGGAGATTTCTTCCAAGCCACGGAGAGCACGGAGAATTTCGTCCACCCTCTCGTCAAGCAGCGGACGCAGGCCGAGTTAGTTCGAGACAACGAGGAGGAGGAAGAGGAGGAGAAGGACAGACGAATGAGATCTCTCGAGCAAGAGGAGGACCGAAAGAAGGACGAAGAGATGAAACTGCTGGTGTCGAAGCTGGAGGACCTCAATGGCCGACCGCTCGAGGTCCCGGAATATCGCGACGCGTACAAGGTAGTATTTGTCGGCTCCGTTCGCGGCCGATATTCATTTCTAATCCCAATGAAGAGTCGTTTCTAAGCTGACGCGATGATTCATATGATCGCAGGATTTCCCGCGCGAACGGCCACGAATCTCGAAGCCGGACGACGAGATAGGCCGCGCCGACGGCTCGAAGGTGTCCTCCCCGTCGCGCTCCAGGTTCGCCACGAAGATCGACCAGGACCCGGAGTACAAGTCCAAGTATCTGGAGTATCCGCGGGACCGTCCGATATATCGGAAACCACCGGCGATGCTGCGGCCGACCGTGGCAGTCTCTCCCGCGCGCGGCTGCTTCTTCACCAGGGTCCAGCCGATTCACCCGGAGTGCCGTGCGTTCGAGTACGAGCCCATCAGCGAGGTGAGGTCGCAGTACGTCCCGTACGGACACGTGCCGCGGGTCGAGACGCTGAAGATGCCAGCGAGTCTGCGGCCGGAGGGTAACATCGACCTTCAGCCGGAATACAGGAACGCCTATTGCGCGCGATACGATCGTCAGGGTGGCGGCTTGGAGTCCAGAGCCTACGGCAAGGCCGATCGCAGTCCGAACGTCTCGAGGAGGGGCGAGAATTATTGGCTGCACGACAACAACAACAACAACAACGATTACCAGTGCGACCGGACACTCCTCGGCCAGGATCAGGACGCGTTTCGGGTGCTGGACACGCGGATCCTCGAGGACAACGTCACCGGGAAGCCACCGCCCGCTAGCAGAAGGTACGTTCAACAATTGACTGGACGCGTTTATCGACGTCTTGTAAATTCGAGTTACGTTCACTCTTGTCAATCTTGCGACACGCAGAAGTTCCCGACTCTCCCAGGCCACGGCGCCGAGAGTGACGCAGTCGACGGAGCTGGCGGATCGCGTCCCGGCCACGAGGGTACGATCCCCCAGTCCGACTTACCGGCTTCACGTGTACGACGTGGACAACGAACCGCGAGGCTTCGGTCAATCGGCTCGACAGTCTTCCGGGAGGATACGCAGCCCCTCGGCCGACCGTGCGAGTCGCAACGACGTCGCGAACAGGCCGTATTCGCCCAGCTTCGGCCGGACGGACGCCAACAGGCAGGATCGTCGGGTCGACGACCAACCATTCGTCGTTTTGGATCAAGCCTCGAAGACCGCCTCGGCCAGGAGACGCAACGTCGATGCCGCGGTGCCGATATCTCGGGGCAGACCCAGAACGCCGACCAGGTGGATGCCGCCCTGGTACGACAATACGAATACGATTTAGAGCGGCGGGCAGTTGGACGAAGAGGCGCTCGAACTGGCTGAAAGTCCGAGTTCTGCAGAGGCCGCGCGCGACATCCGGCGATGATGAGCGACTAATGAACGATATTTGGCGTCTCGACGTCTAACGTGTAATTCCTTAATACTTAAACGACGTGTAGATGTTGTCAGGAAAATGCCAGAAAGTACATGTGCGAAAGATTCTCTCGTGTCAACCTCCGTATATAGGCGAAGAGTAGAATTAACGGAAGAAAAGAAAAGAATAAACACTGCCTGCTGTAACTTCGTGCGCAATCAACTCGAGTGTCGACCGGTCGATACTCGGGATACGTTTGAACACACGTGTTGTATCGTAGCGTGTAAAGGATGCCGCCGGGCTTCGATACGCTGTCGTATGTTACCTGTGTAGCCGCAGTAGGTGATAAAGTAATACCTCGTACTACTGCCAATCCTTTTGTTAATTCGTATCAAAGCAAATATATATACGAACGACGCCCAGTCTCACGTGGTCTTCTTTCGAGCGTGTCCTTTTCCCTTTTGCCTGGAAATTGTATTATATTCTGCTGTTTTATTTTGTACAGGTGAGTAAATCGATAATCGGGTGGACTGCGAATAAAATGAAGAACTATTGAGGAGTCGAGTGAAATTAGATTAATTTCATTTCATTATTTTTTGATTAACAAAAGAGAACGGGATCGGTGAAAATTGGCCTTCGTTGAATATCCTCAAGTTTGGCGGGAAAGGAAGTGAGATCAGTGACGTTGGCGCGTCGACACACCTGCGGCTGACTTTACGAACGCGCGTGAGGTTGCGCGGTTATCTGTCCACGTCAGTTCGTACACGACTCTTCGGTAACATAACCTAAAAGGTGATCCGTGTCTTCTTCTTCGGAAACATCGCAGAGTCGATGAGCGGGACGTTCACGCAGATGACAAGTTGCTCGCACATTCCCTAGCGTAAAATAAGGTATACTCGCCGAAAGATTCTATACGTATCAAGCCGACTAAGGTTACGTCGGGTGCAAAGAAAAGTATGCCAAGTACGACGGGATCTGTGGCCAATAGTCGGTTAACGCTATATTCCGCCTATCAGTGAGTAACATATGTTGTCTTCCGAGCAGAGCGCAGCGAAATGCATTGGACGTTGTGCGCGTTGATCGTCGGGTCATTCGGATGCAAATACATACACGCTCAGGCGCAAAGAATAGCACCGGGTGTCCCGCCGCAGCATTACCAGCAGGTAGGTTATGTTCCCGGGAGAGAGAGAGAGTGTTGGCAAACATATGGCTCCGCGCACCGATGCGTCGTGTGACGTGCTGATTGTCTCGGGCTGTTTCTATTCTCACCTTGATTTGCCACGTGTCATCTTATTTCCCCGACTCGCTTTGTTTCAGCCTTCCCAAATGCCACCGCCACAGCACATCCCGCAACAACAAGTAAGTTCCCGGCTATAACTCGATCTCTTAAGTATCTCTCATCAGTGATCCCTGTAATAAAATTATTTTTTTAGAGCTTCTTCAGCGCTTACGTTAGGAGTAACTTGAAATCTTGATGATGTTAGTCTTGTTAATGATTTTTCTCCTCAAGTATCAACAAATGCCGGTGCAACAGCATCAAGTGCCGATGCAACAGCAACAGGTGCCTGTTCAGCAAATACCGATGCAGCAAGTACCTATGCAGCAGCAGCAGGTACCTATGCAACAAGTACCTGTACAACAAATGCCTGTTCAACATCAGCCACCGGTTCAACAGGGACATGGGCATGGACACGGACATGGGCAAGGGCAACCTCAGATACTTAACGCTGCTAATATAGCTCATGAGAAAGAGTAGGTATCGATTGGAAGGGAATTTGGATAATTGGCGATTAATTCAAGTCAAGTTGTATATAGCAATAACAACCGAGATACCGAAGTAATCTGAAGTAGAATTAACGAGTGTGAAACATTTGGAGAATTCGAATGTGTCAAGTTTTTGAGCTTTTCCGAGTTCGGTGTGCACTGATGCATTATGTTGCAGGATTGTTATTTCTTTTCCAGACACATCGCGGAACACGCCGATGTGCCGATTGATACAAGCAAGATGACGGATCAGGAGTTACAGTTTCATTACTTCAAGATGCACGACGCGGACAACAACAACAAGCTGGACGGTTGCGAGCTGATCAAGTCTCTTATTCATTGGCACGGTACGTGAGAATTTCAGCGTTTTTCCCGTCTCGTTTCTCGTTCTTGCCGGTGTTACGTGTATTTGTACAATTGATATTGTCTCTCTCGTTGTGCTCGTAGAACAAGGAAACACGGAATCTGGTGGGACGCAGGGCGACAAATTGTTCAGCGACGATGAATTAGTACAATTGATAGACCCGATACTTAACATGGATGACACCAACAATGATGGCTACATCGATTATCCTGAATTTATTCAAGCCCAACAGAACGCCGCGGCTAGCTCGCGTGTGTAACAGTACAGCTCGTATGAACTGTAAAATTAAAAAGGAACTTTTATAAAGACTATATATAATGAGGAATCTCATTATATCATCAATGTTCCACGATGCTCATTTGTTACGTCGGCATTACACATTCATATATGTACGGTGATGCGTAACATATTACGCCGAATTCTGTTGGTACTTGTGATAATCCATTTTTCACCAATACGTTTATAACTTTATACATGAATAAGAAAAGGGGGAAAAAAATACTTCGATTTTTGTATATGTGATGTGTCGGTAAAAAGTATATGAATAGGGACATGAATACTGTCATACAATTAAAAAGAACTTGGAATTCTAAAATTCTTCTCAGTTATTTATGACATTTAATGAGATTAATTTTACGATGACAGTGTTTGTACCGCACATTATTATTCTACAAAATGGTTGTAACATTCTAGAGCGTTATTAAATTGGGTTTTTTGATATATCAAGACTATTTTTATATAGACGAGAATACTTTATAGATTCTCCTGCTGTTAATAAATGAAAAGATCATTTATTAGTTTTTACTGTTGTTCATAATTAAAGTATATCTATAAAATATATAGTAGTTTCAATTCGTGTATAACAATTGTATGTATTAAAGATAATATATATATATAGGTGTTTTGCTAGTGGTTTCTACATATAACACAAAGTATAAACAATCTCTTGTATTCAGTAATGTATATACACATTGTTATCTTTAATATTTTCAAATGAAAAAGAAAAAAACATGCAACAATTTAAGCTTGGTTTCGTGATCGATCATATTCCGTAACGTTCCTGTGAGAATTTCAATCTTCGTCATAACAACTATTTCGACGAGAAGAGCGGGGATTGGATAAATATAAAGATGAATCGACACTTAGTTTATAAGTTACTTATCAATTATTACATCATTATCATATTAAAAGACACTATTGTCAGTAATCACAAGCATGGAAAAATTTGTAATTTTATACGCAAGTAAGCATGCCATTACGTAATTACATTTACTTTAAGGAATGTCATTTTGCTCAAACGTGAACATTTGTTAGAAATCTCTTCTTTCCAGAGCAGTCATGGAAATACAATAGTGTGAAAATATTATAGATTACGCTCGAACGACTAGATTATGACTAGATTTAAGACTAGATTCCTCCCTCTCTCATCCATTCTTATAAGTACATCCCGTTGACCAAATAATCGGCATCGTGCGCGTAAGGTCCGTGCCCGCATCTTCCACGTCGTCTCCTCACTACGCTGAAGCCGCAACTAATCAAGAAGACCGCGATTACGGTCGCTATAAGCCCCAACGTCAACGACACCACTGCTCCTTTCGGGTCGTTTTCGATTATTTGAACACGTTCCGAAATAATATCGGTTCTCTCGCGCGCTCTGGCGTGCTCCTCGATCACGATCACGTTCTTTTGATCTGTAGAAAATGTAAATCACCTCACAATAAGAAGTAGAACAAATCCACAGAGCACGTGAAAAGTATTGTAATTACAAAACTATAATTTTCTAGAAAGAGTTACAATTTATATCTCTTCGTTTTCTTATCAGTATGATTAATTTACTGTTCACATCTTTACCTTTTGAATCTTTCGAGTGACTGTGTTTGGTGACATAATCATTGCTCGCTGACAAATTTGGCTTTTCCGTCGCTTGTTTGCTCGTATGCTTTGCATGAGTCAAATGTGTGTCGACTTTTTCTTCCTTCTTGTCGAATTCTTTGTTCTGTGTCAATTCGTTTTTATGCTCCTCGGAGGTCTGGTAGTGATAACATTATTGTGAGCACTAAAATGTATTACCGGGATCACGATACTTCGAGCTATCGATCTGTGCTCACCTCACAGGCAGGCGTTGTTGTAACCTTCGCAGTGTCTTCCACAGCGTTATCGATTTGCTTGCGTTCAGGATTTGGTGCGGGAGGTGCGGATGATGACAACAGCATTGGATTCTCCTGCCAGGCCCCTTTATTCGAGGATGGGAAATGCGAGGTATACGGATGCTTGGAATCCACGTAAAGACCTCTAATGCAAAATTACATTACAAGACAGTGGAGGTTTAGTGATTGCCGTTTAACCCGATAATTAAACGGCAAATTAATACTTCGTATTACCTATCCGCTTCATTGCCACCTAGAACGCTCGAGCCTTTATGATTAAATATGTGCGATTGCTCTAAAAAAAGAGAAACATATACAAAAATTCACATGATGGGTACACAGACACTCATAAATGTATGTGTGTGTGTGATTCCAGATATAATGAATTATTCTCTCAGGAAGCTCGGATGTTTTTTCAACCGATTTGCCCAATTTTGGATTTCTTCCTGGTGAAAACGTCGCAAAAACACTCACGGCAACTTTCACGAAGAATTAGTCCTTGAAAAGGTATCCGAGCTCTCTGAGACACATACCGGATATGATGAAAATCTTATATATTATGAAAATCTTATATTTTATACGTACGTTCGTAACGATTGATATTCTGATCGTGGTACGAATTTACAGGAACATACGGCTCCTTGTTTTGTTCATACAACGGCTGATAGTCCCACTGGTAACCGGGCGACCCGTAATTCTTACGCATTTGCATCTGTATCTCCACCGGCTGGCCCGGATACAGGATATTCTGCGGCTGCGACATTTGATGGGCCGTATTGCCAGGTATCTCCCAGGGCTTAGGATTAACCTCCGGCCCAGCGGGATAAAACGGAGCGAGGGGTGGCGGCTTATGTTGATCGATGATCTGCTGATACCTCATGATATCGGCAGGCGGGTGCGGCGCCTGCATCATCGGAGGCACTACCATCGGCTTCTCCGTGGGACATATGAGATCGGCCGCCTCGTCGGAGCCGTCCGCACACTGCGGAATGCCGTCGCATACGTTGTATATAGCTATGCAGTCTCCGGATGAACGACATTCGTACTGGTTTCTGCTGCAAGCTGCCATCGGAGGTATTTACATTAACTTTCAACCACAGATCTAAATTCCATCGCTTCTGTGCTTAAGTAAATTAACATACACGAACTTGCTGGTGTATACTTTTTTTTTTTATTTTACTTTATTATTTATTTACTTTATTAATTAAATTTACCAATAACGATACCTGGTTTGACCGGTGCTGGAGTAGTCGGCATCATTTTTGGTATCTGCGTGATTATAGATTTGATAGAAGCCTCTGTAAATCCGTAATCTGAAGTAATGTCGTTGTTTTTCCTGCAAGATACAAGAGGGAAATTGACGAAAAGTCGATGATAAAAACGGAAAGAGGAATTTAGACTTGGGAATTAAATATAGTTTGTTCATGTTGCTTCCACTTCTCCCACTTAATCCCTTTTGCTGTTGCTTTTTCTAATATGCATCTGTCTTGTTCTAAGTACAACAAGAAGTGCGAAAAAGTGCAAGAACAAGCCTGTAGGCACCTGAGTGACTTCAACTCATGCTCCTGCTGAGATATCCTGATCTCTTCTTCAGGTTGTACATTCTGCACAGGGTACGTGCTGGCTATGTAACTGGTACGTACAGCACTAGTGTAGTTAACGTGTTTTGTGAATTTACACTTGAAGTCATACAGGGGGCCGCATTCGAAGAGATAACAACTACCTGGTTTCTGTAAAAGGGACGAAGTATAATGTAGCAAAGTTTACTTGATCTCTCTCTCCCTCTCTCTGACATGACATCTTTGAATTCATCATAACTCTGTCTCCCATCACCTGCAAATTCTTACCTTCTCCTCGAAAATGAACACATCACACCGTTCGGTTTCGCAGCAGTACTTCAGACAATCCGATTGGGAATCAACGTCCGTCACGTTCAAATACTTAGCACCCATATCACGGGAGTCCTGCGTCTTGATAATCTTATCTTTATGAATGTCAAAACTCTCGAGGCACATTTGGTAGTTACTCGCTCCGACGTGTCGCTTCTCATGCGCCCGGGCTGTGTCAATGTCACCGCGCGCACAGTAGATGATCGCAACGAAAATTGAAAGAGAAAGTCGCATTCGACGAAACATTGTTTTTCCTTACGCGTTATACGAGCGTTGTACGACTTGCGCGCGTACGTTGCGTCGCGTTGCGTCCGCGGGAGCCGATCGATAGTTCAATCCCAGAACAAAAGAGATTATCCAGTTAGTGTGTCTTTTACATTTGAACGGAACAACGCTTTTTTCCAACCTTTCTTGCGACACGCGCAAACATAACTTGCGTATAATTACTAATACATATTATCGACTTATTTGAGTGTGTAAATTTGTTTCATTTTGTTTCATTTTTGAGTTTACGACACACCCCGCGTAAACTCGGCGACACATAACCTCGTTATGAATTCGACCAGGATTACCAACCAATGAAAAAGTGAGCAGCGTTTGTGGTGCCCTCTGGAATGGTGGTCCTATCAAGTGGAACTAAAAATCAATGTGGCGTCTTCTCTGGTTGGGAATGGAAAGGTGAAACGTCAATAATTCCATGGATAGTCGTATAATAATTGTTTTAATGTTGAATTACGCTACCGGAAAATGAAAATTTAAATGAAACAGGCTTCGAAGCACGAAGTAATGTCGAGGAGATGATCGGAAGATTCTTCGAAGAAGAAAAAGGACGAATCGAACATTAGCTTGTCAGTAGAATATCATTCATTCCTATTGTTTGTTATACGTTGCGACGTGCTAATATAGGGAAGTTCGAACGATTTGTGTGTGAAAATGGAGAGATCCAGTTACGTTTGAAATGTCCTTTGGGTAAATTGGGTAAAAATTTCAAAATATTCGTACAACATGTCTTTGTATGACGATTTTGACAAGCATCGAACCTCCGAGAAGGTCGCGGGATGGTCTTCTGGTATTAAGTTGTTGCAGTCTCAGCTGCAGCTGAAGAAAGCTGCCACAACCCAGGTGAGTTCGCGTAACGTTCATTTCTTTTAAATATAGAAATATAAATTTAAGATATGGCCTTGGTAAGCTTAAAATTTCGAATTATTCTTATTTATGGATTTACAGCCAAAACGAGAACAATACAGGAAGGCTACTGCGGTACTGGCGCCGGTGATAGATTTAAAATCAAAAGCCAATCGTGACCTTGATAGAGAAGATGATGGCAACCATAATAATCCACTGTCGACTAGTAATGTAAGTGGGATAGGAGTTGGCGGTGAATTTGACTGGAATGTAGTGAATGAGTACGATCCTATGTGGCCCAACGAATACGAGAAGGTTGTGAAGGAACTGCGTGACTTGAGAGACAGGGAACATGATCAGGAGACGGAAATGCGCAAACGCAGGAGGGATAACACACGTTTTGAGGATAATCAGGTGATATATTAGAATCAGCTTTCTTATAATTTCAATCAATATGTATATCTGCGAAGATTGCTCAAAACGATTGAAATATTATTGTTTGAAACAATTCCATAGATTGTAGAATTAATCCTGTAAAATCAAGCAAAGAAACTAAACTGTTGTTGTTATATAAATGTATTTCCTCAAGATATAAAGTTTGAATCCTAAAACATTCTTTCAAGATATCTTTTAGAAAACCTAAGAGTAAAAAGTGAACCACATGTCATAAATAAATCATAAATGGTTATGATATAAATAAACATTGATAGCAACATATTGATTATTAATGAAGTAATGAAGTATTTGTCAACATCAGGCTTCTGGCAGTAACAGCACAATGATACCTCCCGAAAGGGACGAGGAGAGAACGCCTTCTTCAAGAGGTATAGTTGGTGGTGCTGCAATAGCCCCACCACCCTCTCTGCAGGAATCCTCTGAATTGCCGCCTCCAGCACCGCGATCACAGCAATCTTCTAGTCTAGGCTATGCCACGTCATCCGTGGCTGCGAAAATAATGGCCAAGTATGGCTTCAAGGAGGGACAGGGACTCGGCAAGAAGGAACAGGGCATGTCGGTAGCGTTACAAGTAGAAAAGACGAGTAAACGCGGCGGCAGGATAGTTGGAGAAAGGGAACAGCTCATGCCGCCACCGCCACCTCTCACGGCTTCGCCACCTCAGACGCAACAATCGTTGCAGCCACAACAACCTGCGGAGGAGCCCAGCATCACCGAGATAATGAAATGTCCCAGCAAGGTTGGCATGCTCACTTTTTTGTCGAGATATGATTTCACCGGAGAATGAAGTTCTGATGAAACAAATCGAGGTCAACTTGATCAAATAATCTTCGTTGAAATGGTTTCGCGTATGCGACTCTGTTTTTCGTACGTCATCGTCATTAATAATTGACCCGGGTTTCTTCCGCTTCAGGTTGTACTTCTGCGGAACATGGTTGGCCCCGGGGAAGTTGACGATGATCTGGAACCTGAAGTGAAGGACGAATGTAACACGAAGTACGGCGATGTTGCACGCGTTATTATTCATGAAGTGATTGAGGCTGCTGCAGAAGAAGCTGTTCGAATTTTCGTGGAGTTCAAGAGAATAGAGAGCGCTATTAAGGCTGTGGTAGATTTAAACGGACGCTTCTTCGGCGGTAGACAAGTTAAAGCGGGGTTTTATTCCAGCGAGAAGCTCGATAACCTACAATTGATGGACTAGAAGGGACGGACAGTGTGGAAGACAAATTTTCATACGTTGCTTTAATACCTTCTCCTCTTCTTCACCATATCTTTAAACAAAGTGTAAAGGAGATTAGATACTTTCCATGTTGTTTAAATATCCAAGAGCCCTCTTCCCTGTTATGTATATTTTTACATTTGCGCAGTGTTTTATTCACATCGTACACGCTCAATAAGCATCGTCAACTGATTATGAAAAAATAAATTTTGCAGTTATAATCTATACAATGTTTATTTCGTTTCAGCGTAATTTACAATTATGCTTGTCTGTGTTTTAACGATCGATTATACATGCAAAATTCAATTAAAAAACCGCTTATATTATCCAACAACGCAACACATAATAATTATAATAATTTATAACAACTTACATATAAACTCTTTAAATACTCATATATTCATATATATATATATATATATATATAGGAATAAATAATCCTTGATCCTCACACTGGGCTCTGTCAGATCGGAGTTTTCAAGCGTATATTTTATTTACAGAATGTATTAATATTTGCGAAATTTTTGGTATCTTCATTTATTGTCAATATTTTTGTTCATATGATCACTTTCATTCTGTTTTCTTCGGCTGTTAATCGGAAATAGAACGAACAAAGAAAGCTTCGAGTCCCACTGCGAGGAAGAAGGTAAAACTGAAAACGAAGTGTATGAAGACAGAGAGGAGGAAGATTAAATAAGTTGGACGGGCTTACAAACGTCCAGTAAGAAATGCAATAAGTTTCAGTCGGACACTTAATCGATAACAAGCGCAACAGGTACTCTGTAAGAAAGCGATCTCTTACCTCCTTCTCTTAGTACCATTTTCAATAACCGTTCGAGATATATTTGATATTGTGCAAAAGTCGAGAACAGTGAATATTCATCCGGACAGCTGCTCATTATCGTTACTTTTCCTTCTTGTCGATCAAGTCGTCCATCGCTTTGTTCAGTTGGGCGCTGAACGCGGCGAAACTGAACGTCTTGAGAAACCTGTCCCGACCGGATTTCCCGAAGTTCTCCGTGCGATCCGGATTAGTGATCAAGTAAGCTATCTTGGAGGCGAATGCCTGGCCAGACAGGTCGACCAAGAAACCGGTCTCACCGGATACTATCGACTCGATCGGACCGCCGGAATTGTGAGCGACTACAGGTTTGCCTATGTACATCGCCTCCAACGGCACGATGCCGAAGTGCTCGTTCGGCGGTGTGTATATTACAATCTTGCAGTGATGAAGTATGGAGACCTTGTCTATGTCGGAAGGCGAGCGCAAGAACATCACCTTCTCCGTCACGTGGAGCTCATCAGCGAGCCCTATCAACTCCAAGTGATACTCCACGTTCTCCTCGACCCTCTTGTCGTAGCCGCCAGCTACGATCAAGTACAAGCGTTTGTATATCTCCTTCGTCAGGAGATTCTCCAGCTCTGCGAGAGCCTCCAGAGCCAGGGACAAGTTCTTCTTGCGCTCGTATCGGTTGATGGACAACAGTATGATACTGTCGTCCGGTAGTTTTCTATCCAGTACCCTCTCCAGGGACACTATTCTTGTCTTGTCGAAGAAGTCCGTGTTGATGGAGGGATACAAAACTTCCGGCTCGACGTGCAGTCGCTTGAATGTGTTCCTGAACACGTTGCCTGTATAAACGCTATTCACAAATATTTTATGAGCCATGCCCGTGGTGACTTCTTCCAGATAATTCAGCGGCATGCGATACAGCTGCTTGCTGTAGCCACCAGGCTGAGAGAGCAGTTGGTCCGGATGGTGACAGTAGAACACCACGTATGGAATTCGAAGTCGCAGAATGGGAATGCACACGGACACCAGGTCGCAGAAGACGATTTCTGGCCGTTGGTCAGAGAATATTATGTAAGTAGCTGCGTATATCTGTAAAATAAAATACATGTAAAGCAGGATCCACAATGAAGAATTTAAGGTCTTAAGAAGTTATTTTACCACAATGGCTATTAGATATCTTTTCTTCTTTTAAATATTTATAATATATTATCTGAGATATATTTGACATACTCATTCAATCCTAAAATTTCTCTTTACTCTAATAACTTCTACAAAACAAACTTTTATCTCTTGATTGATTTACTATTGCTATCAGAAGGAGGTATGTATACTTCTTTTTATACGTTACTTATTATTTATTTTTTATCAATCTTAGGTACGACGATGATGATTTATTATTTCGCCCGGATATTTCAGGTGCACCTACCATACGCAGATAGGCGCAGAGCGCGTAGAACCTGCCCAGGACGTGCCTGGGCAGCCAGTTGCCGACAACGGTGACGGGAATCGTGCCATCCCTTGTCTCGGTGAAGCAGTGTTCCGGGTCGTGATGCGTCGTGACGAAGTTCACGTCGTGGCCGTTCTTACGCAGGGCGAGGGCCGCGTCGACGACCAGTCTCTCCGCGCCGCCGATTCCGAGGTCAGGATGCAGGAAGGTGATGCGCGTCATCGTCGTTGCTCTCGCGATTTCGTCCTCCAACGGTTACGGCAGCTCGCGCATTTATCCGTACGAAAGTACGAAATTACCGCGACGCGAATAACTGTTTATCGCATTTTATCGGTCACCGCCGGCTAAACCCCCGCTACCGGGTGCATCCTGTGAAATTGTTGCTGCATACCGGACGCGGCGCTGTTTGTAAGAACGTTATTTGTTGTTTGACAAGTTTTTCGGCCGTCTCGATTGGCCGCCGGATAGAGGATCCTCTCCCAATAGATGCTGAGGATTCTAAACAGTTCTCCGTCCAACGGCCAATCAGACGACAGTTGAGATGGCGCTCCAATTTGACGGTGAGTCTTATTTCTATGTACAGTCGTGTTTAATCCATGGTTCACAGCCTGCCCGAACTCCGAGTTGTCAATAAACAGTCTAACTTTGACGGTTAATCAGTGACACTCCGAGAAACGAGAAGATTCGTTAAAGAACAAATAGAGTCGCCATTTTAAGAAGCAGGTAATGTTCTTAATTAGCATTTGTTAAAAATATGCATGTTTATCATACTCGTGCGGTTATGTTTACTAATGTTCCTCACTTTAGACGATGACGCGGAATTTGTAATTAGTAATGGGAGCTAATCAAGCACGACCTTGATATCTTTTATTTATTCTCACCGATCGAATAAAGTAACAACAATGAATTTTGGAGTGGATTGGGAGGCCGAGCATCGACGAGTCCTGCTGGATGGCAATGCGGCGTTGGAACGTTCGGCGCAGTCGGTCGCGAGATCGCAGGCGGTCGCAGCCGAGAACGAGCAGATAGGGACCGAAGTGGTCTCCGAACTGGGCGAGCAGAGAGAACGTCTGCTGCGAGCTAAGCGGAGGCTCTCACAGACAGACGAGGAACTGAACAGAACGCGGAAAATTCTCAATGTCATGCGACTGAAGGTTCTCACGAACAAAATTGTGCTGATCTTCATTATATTGCTAGAAGTGGCTATACTCGGTATTATTGTATTTTTAAAGTTTTTTCATTAACAAACCAGACCTATACGGTGAGGCTGAATGAAATTAAGGGCTGGAATTGTATATACATGTAATAAATAACATATATATATGTGTATATATATATACACACACACACATATATATATATATATATGTATGTATGTATAATGCAGTTAATAACACAAGAAGTTATGTGAATATATGCAAATATTGTACAAGATGTAATAAACAAACTTCTACAAGCATATTTGTGAAGACAATATTGCTTAAATGCTATTTTCCAGCCATTTAGTTGGTTTATTATTTCTAGTTTTATATGCAACTCATGATGTTCCATACACATGCCTGTCATATGTCACTGAATAATTTCATGCAAGGTAAATTCTGTTCTCTGCATATTCAGAACAGACTTCATTTCTTTGCTGTTTTTTTCGTGTCAACTTGTCAGTACCAGCGGAAAAGTTTTTTTAAAATGATTATCGTGCACGACGAGGAATATTATCGAAGCAGAGTGCCCGAGCCGGACCTGGGTCCGTTGAAGAATTTTATGCGATTTGTCTGGAATCCCGACTCGAAGATGTTGCTCGGCAGGACCGGGAAGGAATGGGGTGGGTTGTCCTTCCGAGAATCACACGAAATTTCTAAATTCGCGATCGTTGACGAACCATCGAATTAATACTTTGACTGATCTGACGATGATTTGTGATTTTTATTGTGTGAACAGCTCTGCTAGGATTTTTCTACTTGTGCTTCTTCACTGTACTGGGTGCCATCTTCGCGTTGCAGATGTGGCTCAGCATCAACTACGCCTCGAAATTGGACAAACCGTTCTTCCTCTACAACGGCCTTGCACCTAGATCTTATTTTGGCAATAACTTTCCTGTTTTCCGTCACCTGCCCGATTTTGGTAGCCCAGGTATGACATATATGCAATATTTGTATATATAGAATAATTCATTCAACATCTTAATCTAGAAAACAATGTCCATTTTTATCGATACCCGATACTCAGTACATTTTTATGATACACATTATACCTTGTATTTTACTCTGTACAGGAATTAGCTTCAAGCCGAACGTTTTACTGCCCACCGCGTCTCCTATCATTTGGGTGGACAAGTCAAGAACAAACGTTCGACCAAGGAGATACGTAGAAGCCTTGGCCGACTTCTTGCAAGGTACAAGCCTAGACACAAGAGAGTAAAAAACTTCAATGTCAAGAAGAAAGATGTACAGTCGCCGCTATCTTTCTTCCAGAGTACAATAAGAGCAGAGACAATTACAAGACGGCTGTAGAGTGCAGCGACGAGAGAACAAGCGTGCCCGACATAAGACCGTGTTTCTTCGATGTCGAGAGCCTCGGTGTTTGCGGGAAGCCTCCTTACGGATACACGGATCCGTTGCAGCCGTGTATCCTCATCAAGTTTAACAAGGTGAGCCGAGATCTCGCCTGTGCATATTCAACAATCTTGACAGAGAAGTTCGCTAGTCAAGCTGGCTTCTCGACGAATTCTCCTTTGCAGAGATTTGATTGGGTACCGATGCATTACAACAAATCCTCCCGGTTACCCGAGGACATACCGTCCGCTTTGGGAGAAGCTATCCGGTCTTCGAACAAGGTTCAGGTTTGGTTGTGGTGCGACGGGACGAACAGCGTCGATAAAGAGCACGTCGGTGAGATTGAATATTTACCGAGTGCCGGCTTCCCCGTCAAGTATTTCCCGTTTGTGGGCCAACCGGATTACTTATCGCCGATGGTAGCGCTACGATTCAAAAATATCACACGTGAGTCGAGGACTGTGAATGCTGAATATAGATCGTCGAGCGTGACGCGACGTGCTTCATTTGATTTACAACGCGTTACATTTTTTTTCTGTTTATTACAGCGGGCAGACTGGTGACGGTGGAATGCAGCTTGTGGGCGCCCAATATCAACGCGGGTCTGCGGCACGCGTTGGATTTCCAAATCATTCTGGCCGAGTCGTGAAACCGCGGTGAATTGACGACGGTGCTTCTCAAGTACTCATCTCGACGAGATCACGTGTTTAACGAGACTTTAGTATTGGCGAAACGAGGAACACTGTTCTTCTTCGTTAGAGGTTCTTACGGTCAGTTTCAACTATTCATTCTGAAGCTAATATTCTCACCACCAATGATTCCTTTATTATATGTTGTACCATTGTTACATTAACAATACAATCGAATGTACTTCCCGGATACAGAACGTCGTGAATAGAGAACGTAATGTCTGAAGTATATCTATAAAAAAAAAAAAGAAACATGGAGTCAGAGTAATTGCGACAATTTCTGCGAATTTAATAGGCGTAAGGTATCGCGAACGCACACCCGGATTCTGAGACGGCGAAATACGCGCAACGCGCTTCCCCCGGGTTCGTCCTTGCGAAACATCCCGGGCGAATCGAGAGCGCTGACTCACGCCCTCGATTCCGGCGGAGTAGCGGATCGAAATCAGAGCTTCGTGCAGTTTTATTAATACTTTTATTACATGAACGATAAAATGGCAAATGAAGCTTCGTTTAGCGCCAGACGTGCTGCGGTTCAATGCTTGCGAGAATTGTGCGGAAACAGCAATAATCGACCGCACTTCTCGCGTTTGTCCTTTCACCTGAAATTGGCAGTTTCCTTCGGAAATTAGATGATAACGACGGAGGAGTTGGAGGATGAGAGAGAACAGTGGGGAAAAAGGGATGAGAGGGAGCAAGGAAGAAAGAGATAAAAAAGAGACAGAGAGGGGAAGTAGAGAGAAAAGATGAAAAGAGAAAAATAGAAATAAATATAGAGAAACGTAGAAAAAGAGATAAGAAGAGACATGCTTCTAGAAGAAGGTGGAAAAAACAGTCTGAGAGAGAGAGAGAGAGAGAGAAAGTTAAGAAGAGACAGAGCAAGGGTACAGAGGATATTGAAGAATGAAATATGGAAGAGAGAAGGAGAGAGGGAGAGAGAGAGAGAGATAGAGAGAGAGAGAGAGAGAGAGAGAGAGAGAATTTCATAAAAGAACAATTTAATTCGAGTAAGAAAGAGAAACAGACAGAGTGAGACGGAGCGAGAGAAAGGGAGGGGGAGGGAGGAAAGGATTAAATATAAATATATCTGTCCTCCTTCGAGGCAAGCCACGTGACGTCAATATACGAGGCTTCATGATCGAGGAACGTTTTCTCGATGAGATATAACTTCATCTGATCTTATCCTTCTTCTTCCTCTTCGCCCGTGCCGGTCAACATGGCAATTAAACTCGGAGTATCGATGAAACCCTTATCGTCGATGTACATCTGATCGAAGGCGTCGTCCACTTCCTTGGGTGTGAATTTGTCGCCCCACGTCATCAGAGCATGCCTTAACCTGGCGCGCAACAAGCACGAAAATCATTGTACACTTGTATACATACGTGCCTCTCTCTCTTTTAACACTAAAAGTAGTTCTATTTTTTAGATTAATACTTTATTTCTTACGCGATAGTATCCAAAAATTTTCTGACTTTACATCAATCATTGCCCTTATTAAACGATTGATAAAAAGTCGTGAAATTTCAGAATTCCATCTTTTACGTAACATAATATTAATCTAAAAAATAGAAAAGGTCGAAAACGATTGCTCTCGGTACTTCTAACTGTTAGCAAAAAGACACTAAAGTACCATCGCCGTACCTTTCGCCGTCGATTTTGCCATTCTCGTCGAATGTCTTGAAGGCATTGATTACGACGTCGTCGTCGTCAGCACCTGCCAAAGCGAACGATCGTTAATCTCCAAAGTTCCTGCATTTCACGTGCGTGGCGCCGATATACTCAAGTATCCCTCACGCATACCTGATCCTGACATACGAACAGCAAACAGGTTTAACAATTGAGTGAAGTTGATGGGTGCCGAGGCCTCGTTGAGCATTTCGTCGATCTCCTTGTCGGTCGCGAGTCGGCCAACCGAGTCGAAGGCCGCACGAAGATCGTTCTTACCGATGATGCCGTCCTTGTCCGCGTCCATCAGCTGGAATGCCTGCGAACATGCATGAGAGAAACCTCAACGCAACGTTCCCACTTGATCATCGTCGACAATTCTTCATCGTCGTCTGATATTTTTTTCCCAATTTAGCGATGCATCGTGAAACTGGAGTTTCCTCTCTCAATGGAGCACGAGAAGAAGATCACGAGTTTCATATTTTCCAAAGGATCTACTGAGAATGGACGATATATGTGATTCTTTACCTCCTTGAACTCGGCCACCTGTTTCTGTGAGAACATGGAGAAGACGCTGGAGCCGCTGCGTTTAGCCTTGCGACTGCCGCGGCTGCTCGCCCTGGCGGAACCGGATTCCTTCGGTGTACTCGTAGGGGTTGGTGGTTTCTCCTCGGCTGGCGCGGGCTCGGGCTCGGGCGCCGGAGCCTCCTCCTTCTTCTTGGTCTTCTTCTTCTTTTCTTTATCCGCCTGTACAATAGAGTTCAATATTGCGTGAGACACTTCTCGCGATTCATTCCGTAATTCGAGTGCTTATTTCCAAGTGTGTCTCTTCGTGTCTCATCTCGTGGGATTTCTCGCGAGCTTCGCGCGGTATGATTGATTGCTCGTTAAGAATGTGGATTTGCAACGGCTGAAAAACGAACTTCCTCGATTATCGAGAGGAGTTGTAAGGTGCATCGAAGATACCTCGGTTTGTCTTACAAAAATCGCGAATTCCGTTGCTTTATAAAATCAAACGGAGAATCGATTAGAAAATCAACCCCTTTGTTTCGAAATTACTTTAATATTTAGCGTGCGATCGCACAAAGTCTGTGAGAAGTCAACGATAGAATGGGAAAAATTGGATTGAAAACAGGCACCGATATTTTCTCGGAAACTTTCATGTTTAACACAAATGCAAAAATAGATCTTCTTGTATTCTACGAATAATCGTCGGGTCGAGCGAGAAGTCACGCGAAAAACGTGTATCCCTCTCATGTTGAACACTTTTCCGAGAAGAAGAAAAGGAATTGATTTAAAATACAAGAAGAAGCTGAGAGAGAAACGAAGTGTCGACATGCGGAAAATAGATTATTTTCATTAACACTGCGTTACCATGCCGATTGGTCTCGATATAAGAAGTCGACGGGAAGTGAGACGGTGACCCGGCTGAATTGTTGGGCGAGAAAATTTGCGAGGCGCGGCTGGTCGGCCCACCAAAAATAGAATCGTTCCGTGCGAGTCCGCGGAAAAGCTGCCAGGACGTATATAGAGCGACCGTCCGGTTACCGCGCCGCCTCTCGAATTACTTTTATTACGTAATTATTGTGCCATTAGATTGCCGGGGGCAATTTATTCGGCCGGCCGGAAGTCGGCCCGTCGAAGCACACATCGGGTAATTCTCCCTTTCTTTCTAGACATTCAAGCAGAATATGTGTAAGATACTTCCGTTACTCTATCGTCGTACATTGAGATTTCGAATTCGCCGGGGAGATCAGACGAGGAAGATCACTGTCGCACAAAAAATCCGTCAGTGTCACAAATCCACAATCCAGAACGGTGCTCTGGCGGCATCGAAGTCATCATTATCATCATCATCATCATCACTTAACGTAGACCGCACTCTGCGCGTATAGTCGCCACCTCGCACCCGTAATCCACCGTCGTCGTATATGACGCACGTCACCGCGTGTATTCGCGCGATTTGGCAGTGTTCCTGGTGGTCCGATCGCACATACATGATTTTCTCGCGCAAGTTTTGCCCGGTGAAACGGAAGATCGAACATGTATAGAGAGGCTCGCGCGGCTCTGCAGTTAGCCGCAGGGAACGATCGGCGTGTGGCGGCCGAGGAGCGCGAAGGTGTCGGCGGAGACGTCGATACTTACCATATCTACGAGTGGTTTCTAAGAGGAGACGGTACGAGATGGTCACGACGAACCAACTGTCCGAATCATAGAGCTGAACTTGTCTAAGTAACTTTTGTGGATCTCCCCCACCAGAGAGACGCGGGCCGACTCGAGCAGGGCTGCGCTGCCCGGGTACAACGCCACAACGTCCATCTGACCATATTTAGTGCGAGTCGCCTCAAAATAGCGTCCCTTTCGACGTTTCGACTAAAACAGTTTGCCGGGGAGAGTGTAGAACTGCCGCCGCTGTCGTAGTAATCGAAACGACGGCCTCCTCCTCGCCGGCCTCCGTCACGATGCCGATTAGCTCGACGATCCTCGTCGCGGCCACCACGATCTTCGTCCTCCTCACCGCGATACCACGTAAGGGGAGGAAAGGAGGCTGTAGGATTGCGTTCTCGACGGCGGCTTACGATCACTGACATTGCATCGATCCTGCTCTAACTTGATCTACATTTCATATCTGTAATTAGTAAAATCTGTATTCGTTTTATGAATAGGTGTTTGCAGAACGCATAAAGGAAGGAAATGTACTTGATTGAAATATTGTGCATGTGAACGTGCAGGTGACACACCACACATGATTCGAAAACGAGACTGTGAGAGTTCACTTATTGGAAGTTTGAAGGAGTCAAACGAGTCGAACGCAGACGGAGATTGGTAATAATCAGCCATCGGCCGAAACTTTTTCACCACTTGTCATGGTATCGCAATGATGGCTCCCTGTTCGGGAAATTGTTGGGAGTACGTCGTTATCGTTATTCGCGGTGGAGTTTTCGTGCCGCGATATCGGAAGCACGTGGATACCGAAAATAACTGTCCGACATATTCAAGAATGCACATATGTTCCTACATATCAGTGTACAGCGCGCTACAAAATTTCCGCCTTCCTCCGTTTCCTTTTCGGATATTCAAATGACTTCTCTTTTATTATGTTTTATCGCAAATTTCCACTTCCGTCTCGACATTAAGGGGATATGTACGATCGAATGTCTAACGAAAACATTTAACGATGCAATTTATGTACATCTATTTACGTGCGGACAAATAATCTATTTACATTCAGGTCCGAGTATCGTAATATATTGATATTCGTGTTACGTTACACGCTTAATTGGACCTCGAGAACGCGCCAGATAATGTATAAACGACGGTAATCCAATGAAGCGCAGCAAAATGCATGACGTAATTATTACATGCAATTTGAAAATCTCCATTCAAACGTTTCAATTTTCGTGCGACGAATTAGCTTAGTTTCTCCATCTGCGACGATTACCAGACAACGTTTTAAATTGTCTATTCACGTCGTAAGATCGACCGTTCATCTGATTGCTCTGACTTCTCTAATGTTTACGTCGCATCTGTTTGAAGAAATTCGCATGCCTATAAAATAGACTCCATTTATATTACCGATTCTTTCTTATAGGTTTCTCCATGTGCAAAATTATTGTCAGGGGTGAGTAAGTATCCTTCAGCACCAAACCTTTCCCCTCAAAAGCCTGTTTCTCCGGTCAACGACAAATCCGCGACTTCTATCGAGTCGGTTTGGTTCAACGGTAATTCGAGGAGTCCGATTCGTTCGGTCAAGTCGATGATACTGCGTGAAAAGTTAAGCGAAACGGCTCTTTGCAATGACTTGTACATTCTTTTCAACGTTATTCTAATTGTTCTAACGTCCGGTTACTGCGCGATCGCCTTTCCCCGGTGTGCCGTTTGTCGCATCTTCCCTCGATAATTGTGTAATCGACCGGGAACTAAGTGATAGACCAAAGCCATTGCTGATCCGGATATTCCAGGGTTCGCTTTCAGAAAATAACGTATTCGCACCGAGGAGGGCTCCGCGCCTCTCTCGAATCGTATCTCACCGTGGAGACCACCGGAGGATATGTAAGCGGCGAGCCTAATCGAACTCGCGATAGTCCCTGCACAGAACGTCCTACTGTATTCAATAATTCTTCAATTAAGGTTTCTGGATACTCGCTATGGCTGTCCTTCTTTGATGACGTCAGAAGCGAGGAAAATCATGTATAATTAAAATTAATATTTCTCGATTATTATTCTCGCATATATTATATTTTTATCTGGACATTTGGATGTTTCATGATTTGGTTAAAACCAATTCACATATCAGATTAACTTTTGTTGTTTCTAAATAATTCGACATGGTTAACTTTCATTTTTTGTTGCATTTCCAAAGATGCTGTACAATGTATTTACAGGGGTACTGGAAGAGGAAAAGGCTCAATTTTTTATATCAACTTATTCTAATATCTACTAATACATAGGAAATTAAGCAAATTGTTTGACCTTGTTTAGTGTTTATACTTTTTATTGCATTTTAGTAGAGAGAAATTTAAAAGAGAAATTCTTGCTTGTTATATTTTTCCTTCAGTATTTTGGCACAATCTTTCGATAGACCTCGAAAATTGCGAATTATCATTTCATTGTATTTTTCAGTCTTCATTGTTTACAATGATTATCACACTCGCTCAAGTGTCAAGTCGATAAAATACGGTACAACAGCCTCAAATCAGATCGTTAGATGGTGGTAGTAATGCGAGATCGTGGAAAAAAAAGTCGCGGCAGCACTTCGAGCAAATTTTGATTGCGTTCCATTTGTCAATCGTATTATATGTATAGCTTCAAAAAATGCATCTTCTTATATTTATAGAAAAAATATTGTCTAACAGCAGTAGTATCATACTTTATGATTTCTTATTATAAATATTTTACATATACAAAGTTTTCTCTAGTTTTCATGGCAAAGTCACTTTCCTAAAATTTTACTATCGATAATATACATTATTAATTACTTGTTTATGTAAATGTTGTTCTATACTATATAAGACATAAACCTCAATTTTTTGCGTTTTCTCGTTTTTGACGTCATTAAATTTAAAAGGACAGTCAGCGATTACTCCAGAGCCTTAAAATACTTTCTGTTATTAAGTACTTAACAACGGTGAAAAGAAAAGAATTACATACCTTTTAAATGTCTGTTGCTGGCTGCTCACCGAGACACGTACGAAATTAATTGATATAACAATTAATAGGTAAATCTTACATATAGAGAAATACTTTTATATTTGCTTCACTTTTTATTCTCCTCAATAATATAAAATTACATACGTTAATAACACGAGATGAATATGTTACAATATTTCACAACGTAACGCGTGTTCAACGCGATTATGGGTTACGATTTGGAAGCTGTTGGGAGAGACATTGTCTTGCTCTCGTTTAAACGCGTAATTCCATCAAGTCGGTGACGATCCCGATGACGATAGCGAGCGAAAGTATATCTGTACAACGAGACGCATTTTGATTTCGTAACAGTTGACCACTGTGCAAAGACAGAATTGCTAGAATTCGACTGTCTCAGCGGAGACTCGATTTCGCGTTATTCGCTTCCGCGTAAGATTCGAAGACTTGAAAGCTTGAAATACGAACGAGAAGAAAGAAGAAATTTGAAGCTGGCGGCAGAAAGAGAAAAAAGAAAACCAGTTGCGCACATTTTGTCGCCTGACCGGTGTAAATTAGATATACCTGCATAAATAATAGTACGGAGAAACTATATTACAAAAATATACAGCGTCGCTGATTCGACGCCACCTGCATCCACATTGAATTCTTCCAACGACTCTGCATTTTCTTACCTCTCTACACTAATTACATAAATACATCTTATTTACATCCTTCGCGTGCGATTCGTGTTAGTTGGTAAAGTTGGCTGCGTACAATGTATGATTCATTATCTCGATATAAAGACACAGGGGATATAATTAATTGGCAGACAGTGACGTCACTCTTCTTCCTATCCCACCTACTGACAAATACATTTTACACAAGATCACTCTTTTTTTTTCTCTCCTATGTATGTTGTATGTGTATGTGTGTCGAGTGATACTTTAGAGACTTTTAATTGAACGGTCGATTGCGCCGGTTTGGTAAGATATAGTCGAAAAGTGTTTACGATCAAATTAATCAGCGCAATTCCGTTTACCACCAGGCTTCTACACACAACTGAACTTGACACCTGAAAATTTAACAGCGATGAATTATGAAGTGAGGATATCCTTCCGAGACGCTTTTTGCACATTCGCGCTTTCACAATGACGCTAATGATCGTCGGTTACGTTTGCAAAGTTTCCTCATGCTGTTAAGTGTTGTAATGTCTGCAATTACCTGCGACGTGAATTTGTCATTCATAGCAGTTTTTAATCTCAGGGCGGTGTGCATTTTATTGGACGCTCTCGGAATCGATACACGCTCGTTCTTTTTTTTTTTTTTCGTGTGGATATATAACTTAACGGTCTAAGATAGAGTTAAAATATGTGTACCATCGTCACTGGAGTAGCAGTTATGGCAATGAAGCTTATGATTTCGAACGCGCACGTCCGTTCCCATCAATCCATCGCCGAGACGCACGTGGCATACGCAACATTTGAAGCATTCCATATGATAGAACAGCCGTAGGCTCTCGATTATCATCGCAGCACCTCGACCTAGAGGATTAACAATACGTAATATTGGTAAATGTTAATCATCTAAACTGATGAATGGGTCGAAATAACGTCTTTGTGTCTAGTCGATTACCTAATTCTTCTCCACAGTGGGAGCATTTTTTCTTTCCACTCACGCTCAGCATTTTCTCTTGACTTCCGCCGTTATTTGTGACTGGCGCATGTTGCGTTTTTTGAGACGGTAATGTATACTGAGGCGATTGGTGTATGGTCGAGATATGTTCTTGACTGTGAACTTGCTCCGACCTGACATACAAAATACAACAATCCTTCATAAATCGCACTGACAAGAACAATTATCTTGTGCCTTTTAACGAATAAAAATTGTATTTCCTTATTTTTCATTAGATTTTATCTTCATGAACATTTTTAACTGTTTGTCAGAGCCGTAATCGTGCGACATAAATCATTTCAAATTTATGTTAACACATTCGTAACCGGCAATGTAGAATTACGTCATTTCAAATTCTGTAGTCTGTAAATGTTGAACAACAAATGATTATAAGTACTCATCACTCACATACTCACATACTGAGAAATAATATTTCTTATATTCACATATATACAAACAGCAGATCCTTGCGGTACTCAGCTACAGACTTTTGGAAATTATATGCGGTTTTCAGTTAAACATTTTGCTCGGCTATCGCCGGTCGCGAATGTATTGATTTACACACGAATTAAAATTTTGTCCACATTATCTAAATGTCATTTCTTAACTATCGAAACATTTTATTTTTAATTTCCTAATTTTCTGCTAATTCGTAAACAGAAAGTATTTGAAAATTATCGAGTGTTGTTTAAATTTTACCTTCTTCTAGTCGAAAGAGGCTTTTCTTGCGTTTTATTTTGTACCCTTTGCGTTAACGTTTGTATGATAGAATCGGGTAGCGGCTTAGTATCTGGCCGAGTCAGAGCGTTATATGGCACGGAGGTGCCAGTTACGTGCGGTTGGGATTTCCGCGCCGGTGATCGTTGATTTCTCTCATTAATTCTCCTGTGTTCCGCCTCCTGAAGGAAGTACATGTCTAAGATAATATAGGATAATACGTGTGTCTATATCTCATTATGCATCACTATTAAACGCATCTCTACGATTTCATTAACAATTTGACGCAAATTAATTAGCCACCTAGGAAAAATGAGGAATATATTATTAATTTATATGAATTAATATCTTTAAAGATCGAATAGACAAATGCATCTTGTTTCAACAATTATTTACTATTTTGCAACGTATTCTTCCAAAAATCAGAAAATTCATATCGACTTATAGTTGTAACATTCTGATCCGCTATGAAGATTATTCATACTGCGCACCTGAATGAGCCAATGTTGGTAGTTCAAATCGTGAGCTCCTCTCGGTACATCACTCTTCCTTCGCTGAACCCATTGATCGCCATGGACGATTCGTGACCGTGGTACAGCGCTTAATGCCTGTAAAGTTTGTCTAGACATTTGCTGGCCAGCGTGAATCGTGAGTGTCGTTGCTGATGCGCTCTCCCGAATCGACGCATCTACTTGTTGAGGAATCGAGTCCGCCGATGGTACGCGGCTGTTTCTGTACATTTGCGATTAAATGAGAAACAATTAAACGACAAGGGATTAGCATATATTATATAGTATGACGATCTGTTTTACAAATAATTGTCGTTATGAAAATATCATAAGAATAAAAACTGTCATTATAAAAAAAGATTATCTTAGTTTTAATATATTTTTTTATTAGGCGATTGTATTATTTATAACTCGATCGCAAAAATTAAAATTTGGAAATGTAAGTATATGAAGGTCGAAAGTCTTTAAAATGCGATTAATCTGAAAGTTTCGAATTTATCTTGGAGTCTATTTTTACCTGATGATACTGATGTCTCTTTGCCTTTGATCTACCATACGTGGTTTAGTAAGCGGGATCGGCGGCGGTGGTGGTCTTCTTCTCGGTGTGTCCTGAAATTGCAAGTTCGGCATCGATGATCCATAATTCACCGTAGGCACATGATACTTGTATTGTTGCGTGCTCTTGATGGAGCTCTGCGCAACGTCCTGCAAGGATTTCCACTGTTCCTGCAGCTGCTCCGCCAACCGGAGCTGCTTTTGCTCACGATAAGCCAAATTGTTGCGTTGTCTCTTCAATTCTTCCTGTTCTAACTGCAGAAGTTCCCTTTCCACTCGTAGCACCTCCTAAGCGAATATACCATACGCGATATCGTGATTGAACTCCCTTGCCATTTTAATTTATCTACGTATGCATTTGAAAGGCCAAAAGCTAATATATTATTAATCTATTTATACAAGATACGGTTAAGAGAGCGAGCAGAGATTATTATACGACAAATCAGGCTGAGATCTTTTTCTCTCAGATTAGTTAAGATACCCGAAAAGTACTCCACTAAGGAGAGATAAGTAAAGAGGCGAACGGAGAATTCCGAGACAAATATTTAAGTAAAGATTCAGTGCAAAGAAGCCGCTAAGAAAGTGGTGAGAACTGTTTTGCCTTACCCCGGAAGGGAATTCATCTTCGTTGCCGCTCAACCCATCACCGACCAGTGCCTTGCTCTGTGAATAATTAGCAACGATCCCTCCGTCAATATTTACACTACGCTGTATAACCAATTCGCTGAACATACTACTGAACGAATCCTCCAGGCGTTGTTGTGACAATGAACCGCGATTTCCCGCGGTGTATAAACACCTGCTATCGGCGAACGGATAAACGGTGAACGGTGAATTAAGATAACACCGCCTGAAGGACGATAACATCTATCCAAGCTATCGGTTAAAGAATGCGTGCTTCGCCAAAGGAAATCTGTGCAACAAGTCTCGAGTTTCCCGAGGAACATACAACTGAGACTTTAACGCTGCTAGAGAGCACACACACACAACACATGTACACACGCGCGAAAGATAACCGAGACCTCGCTCTAAATTCAACATCTACATTACATCATCACCGCTTTTTTTTTTCTTTTTGTCGTTAGTGTCGCACGAGAAACAAAGCGTTTCGAGAGAGAGAGAGAGAGAGAGAGAGAGAGAGAGAGAGAGAGAGAGAGAGAGAGAGAGAGTCTCACCTCTTGCTCACGAATCTGACTCTCCATCGTCCGGATACGTATCTCCTCCTTACGACATGCATCAGCGGCTTTTCGCTCCTTCTCCTCGATCTTGTTCTGCATCCTCAGCTGCTCCGACTGCATCTCGAGCTCCTCGTCTCTCCGTTTGTTGTCCTCGACGTACTTCGCTTCCTCCTCCGTTGCCTGTTGCGCTGCTGTTTGGACCTCCCGCTGTTTCGCCGTCTCATCGTGCTGTTGTTGCTCTTGTGAAGCGTCTCCTTCCTGTTTGCGTGCGTTGTCGTCCCGCTTGCGAAACGCGTCCTCGTTGCAACGCAGGATCACCTCCTGCGCGCGCTCTCTCTCCAGCTGCATCTTCTCTTCCTCGAGCTCGCGCAATTTGTGGGCCAGTCTTTCGCCTAAGTCACTGTCACGTCATCGATGTGTGTTATTCGACCGATGATGCCGTCATGAAGACCGTGTCAGAATTTTTAACATAAAACCGCGACAATTTGCATCCCTTTTAGAGCCACCGGCGGGGTTATATTTAAGTAACTTAAGCCATTTAAGTAAAAGAAAAAAAAAAAACATTTATTCTTACCTTTCCATATTTATCTTTGGATAACTTAACATTAGTTCTTTTTATAGTACGGTTTGGAAGTTTATAACAAGGAAAGACTAAAAAAGGCATGAACGATACAATACAAATGCGCTTTCAGAAAAGTTTTATTAAAAGAAGCGGCAAAAATATATATAGAACACTTATATTTTATACATTTAACGGCAGCTCAAGAAAAATGACTATAGTGATTTGATGACCATTTTGGATGATAATGAATTTTTTAGTAACTTGTCAAGTGACAAAAGGTGACTGGATGGTGGGCTGGTAAAATAGTCCGGAAATTTTACTTTCACTCCAACAATTATAAATAATAAATAGCCGTAAAATTTGCATGACAAAATTGTGAGAAAAAATATAGCTTGCATATTACGTTAATTTTACATTTATTTATTGATTGTTAGAGCAAAAGTGGAGTTTTAGAATTATTTTACAGATCTGTTCGATCAATTGCGATTGTCAGTTTTTCAGGAATACATCTTTTTCCTTCAACATATTCCGCAAGAATTTTGGGAATGCACTTTCTCGTTCCTGACGTTATCAAATAAAACAACTGCAGCGTGGGACCGGGAATCTTTAGATCTAAAGATTCATTTCGAATATTTTTTTTTGGATATTTCTTGAACTTTTGCCTTTGGGAGGATCACAGAATTCCAAGAAATTATTCCTACCTGTTGAGTTCGCGATTGTTTCCGTAACGCCACTGTTCCTCCTTTTCGAGGACTTCGATGATCTCCCGCTCCTTTTTGGTGATCTCGTCCTCCTCGGAGGAAGTCACACTGGCGCCGAAAGGTTCGCTGCTCTGCCTGCTGTGTTGCGACATGTCGGGGCTGACCGGCTGTTTCGTCCAATCCTCAACGTGACCCAACTCGACCCCAGAGTCTCTCTCGTGACTCGAATCTTGCTCATAGTTACTGTCCGTGTCGAAGGAACGACGATGGAGTTGTTCAATGCGTCTTTCTTCGGCAAGGATAGCCGCCATGTCCGGTGGTTTGGTCAATGTCAACACAGGCTCGAGATCGTCATCGTTGACCTGCTATCAACGGAGGACGCGTATCGTTTACAATCAAATTCATTGAAAAACATTCTTAGCAGAGAAATGCGGAAATTAAACTAATAAATCGCACACAGATAGAAAGAGAGAAGAAATAACAAGAGTTCTTATTATATCTTTAATTGTTTGGGAACAAATCGTTCTTGTAAATATTACTTGAACGGTAGGCACCTTTCTTTTTCAGTGTGCAATGTTCATCATATTCACGCTTACCCCCTCGATGCCGAGAAAATCCGAGCGCCTTGTGCGCAGCTCTTTCTTTATCCTGCGAGTAGAATTCAGTCGCTTGAGCGGCTCCAGGGGAGGGTTGTCATCGTCACTGACGTCCACCGGTGGCGGCGGTGGCTTCTCCTTAGGCGGCTCCACGCTCGTCAATGGACTCAGAAGGAAAGGCTGGCCAGCGACGATCTCCTCATCATTGGACAAGGCAAGTGGTAGGATCTGCAAACGCGCCACATCATAGATCGGTCTACACGTTTCTTCGGATTTTCATTTTATCTCGTGCCTCTACTTTTCTTCCCCGCCCATCGGTTCCCATTTCGCCCCCAAACGATCCACCAACCTGTTTGCCAGAAATCGGCGAGGCCGGGACGCTCAACGTCGGGCTGACTTCCTGCTTGGTCAGACTCAAGTTCGCCGGCCTATCCGGCGGCAGACCAGCCGTCGGCGCGACGACCGCAGGTGCATCGTGCACGGCGATGTCAGCGACGCACTTCCTCGTGGTGGCGGGCAACCCGACGTTCATCGGCGTTTCCGTTTTCTCGCGTCGCTCGTGTTGCTCGTGCTCGACTGCCGGAGCCGCCGGGCGAAGGATCGTAGCCGCCGCCGCCTCTTCTTCGTCCGCTTTCTCAATAACGACCCGTTCCTGAGGAGAGAGAGACGAGAGTCGTAGTGTAGCCGAGGCGCGTAAAACACGGCCCGGTCTCGCGCCACGAATTTTGCAACGCCACATTCTATGCTAATCCGCCATGCGGTCTAAGGCACACGCAGCGTTTCTCAAACCCGCGAGGATGATCGCGGACGAGTGAATTTTGGCTGTAAAGACAGAGATCGCCCGTCACGATGTTCCGATGGATGACGCTTGAGACACGCGTGCTTCTCTTTCCGTAATTTGATTAAAGCCAGTCACGTGGAATTCTCAACTCGGCAACAGGTGTGAAAGACTGCGGCGTCAGTCAAACATGAATTTAACAATCACTATGAAATCGTGAAAAATTATTTCGGCCGTCTTTGATGTTCAAGCGATAATCAGGAAATACATTTCGTTGCATTGAGCGATATTAATGATTATATAAAATGGAAGTAACATATTGTGCATTTTATCGGCCAACAAGATAATTGATAAATATTTACCGAGATTAAAGAATACGATTAAGAGATCAGATTGCGTTGTTTTTCCAATGAAAATTGCATTCTCTGCGGAATTTTCAAACATCATATGTTCGCTCGCTCAAGACGCAGCTCGTACGAAGTGTTACATCATCAAATGGAATAATATAACGCGTGTGTGCTTCGCGACGCCATTGTCACAGGCATCTCTTCCCAGTGCAGAAGTTGCGTGAAAAATGTTGAGAAAACACGCGCACTGCATGTACGATTCTTGTCGTGGGAACTCGCGGGTGCGTTTTACCAGGTCGATGCACGTTACGTAATGTTGCGCGTCCGATCTCGCGAACACGCCCGTTTTTCTCTACGATTTGGCGCGCCTTTATGAGAAAAACACGAATGTGTAACCTGTAATTAATAGTCAATGACGAAGGCAGTCTCGAGAAACGCTGAGTAACTTTAAACTTTAAATTTTGTCGAAAGCAAGGATTACCGCATGTATTTTAACAAGTATTGGATCTCCGATCAGACGTTGCAAAATTTATGCACATCGGACGTTAATAATCAGTTGATAAAATATTTAAATGAGTACTGCATATATATATATATATATATATATATATATTATTTATGTGTTGTACATGGCAGGTATATGATGACATAATGGATACATGATGATGATGATGCGACATGTGATTGGCAAGGAATTGAGAAAAAACCTGTCGATTGTTAAAAGAAAGCGTGATTCGAGTATTTCGCATGCATTATAATCCCGTCATTAATAGAAATGATGTTATCGTCAGCTCCAAGATTACAAAAGATCAAAAATAGCATCTTTTCCTTTTTTCAAGCTTCAGAAATGAAACTAAGGAAGCATAAAAAATATTTTCAGTTCTAGAACAATAAGATCTGAAGATCTTATTTTCTGATCTAAGAATTTTCGAGATGTTATCGTTTCGACTTATATAGGTGTGTTCGAGAGAGATTTAATCTTTTTTTTACAATTTCTCTCATTTCTCTATCTCTCTCAAAATAGAGCGGCTCTTCACTTAAATAAAAAGACCATCGCACTTTTATATACAGATAGTATTATTCAACTAGTATAACTCATTTTGAATTTTTTTATCGCGTTTCGAAAGCGGGCAGCGAGTATCTTCAGTTACTCAATGACTACAAGCGTACGAATCGAAACAACGAATATGCTCCCGTTGGTACGTTTCCACGCACACGCACACATACAAAACACACACACATTACGGCCAAATTAAAGAAAAAAGGAAAATTCCCACTTCGCTAATACAACCGTTCGGTAGTATCTCTTACCTCACGAATCATATCCGCAAATCGCATGCAGGAACGAGTAATAACGAGGGAGGGGACTACGTTCACTTTCCCATTGCAAGCGGGAACGTGCACACGCCTCGAAAATTACACAGCCACTAGAAACCGTGATCTCAGGTGATGTCGGACTGGTTAAGGCGTGAGTTGTGAGCATACGGCGGTGATAAGGCGCTTTTCGGCGATTGAGATAAGAGAGATATCTCTCCGTTATCGGGGTTCCAACACTCCGAACTGGAATGCAGGTGCATGCGTTCTAATATGAAATTCATCGTATAAATCTAGATTATATAGATGAAGAGGCGATGTAATCAGGGTCTACCTTGCGTCTAGACAAGTTAGACAATACTTCCGCGGGCCCCGTAATAAAGCACATAGGCAAACGAATATTATCGATAATGATCTGAATTTACACGTGTATCATGTAACAGTCCCTCTCAAGTTTTTAGGTAAATATTTATTTTTCAGAGAAACACCTCGGAACGACTCCGATTTTGACATATATTGTCGAAGACTGCCGCTTTTTTATAATAGAGGTTGCTTAGAAGCGTGACTTTGACATGTACTGTCGAAGTCGTTCTAAAACGTTTTTCCAAAAGCAAAAAATATTCACCATCTTTATATTTCGGGATTATCCTAAATTAATTTCTTCTTCTAAATTCTCTCCTCGGATAACTTTAAACTTTATGTTATTAATCTTTTTTTTTTTCATTCTCTTATCCATCCAGAGCATAGATAATATTTTATTTAATCTCCCGAATGCTTCGAAGATAGACCTTGAATGTATCGACGTGCTAATCACATAGCCATGCGTGTGTCGTGAAACTGTCATCCGCTCTCTGAGTTCACTAGAAAGAGGAAAAAATTAAAGTAAAAAGCCGCCCGCGTCCTGGCACGGTATATTCTTTGGGAATGACACACAGGCAAATCGCTTGCTCGATGCAATCAAATATAAGTGACGTCTTACCTCTTCGGCGCATCGAGGACGAGACACGGGGAAAGAAGAAAGCGATCGCGGTCTGCGTCGAGAAGAGCGAGCGACTGACTGTTGATGGAAATATCGTTGACGGCACCGCGGTTAAGGGGATTTTTATCACGATCGGTACGAGCTCTTTAGTAGCAGTTAAATATCTCTGCGACTGACCTCCGACTTTTCGCGTCACGAGGACGATATATCTCTCGTACTTTGGACGTACGGTTGTCGCGTTAAAACTGCATTTTTGTGCACCTTATTAACTTCGAGACGCCGATTGCGCCGAGTTTTGCGTTAAGATAAGATGCTTCTATTGTTGAATCCATCCTACTAAATTCCACGGAATTGATTAATTGGCCGGAATTTGCATGAGAATATCTTTCGAACTAATCTGGGATTAATTTTGTTTATAATAATTCCAAACATGCATAAATCATCAGCTAATTAATAACTGAATCAAGCCAAAATGTATTCTTATTTCTAATTTAATCTTGGATAAATTTCTTATCGCAATAAGAATTTTGACTGACGATTTAATGATATATAAGGTAGTTAACATTTAAAAGTTGCGAAAATCGACTGTAACTCGAAAAATACATCTGCTAGTTTGTACCGATCATTTAAGAAAATTGTTTATGTAGGAATAAACCGATAACGAAATCAAGCTTGAATAATTCTTATTTCTAACTTAAACTTGGATAAATTTTGCACCACCGTAAGAATTTTAATTACGGTTTAATAACGGTTTAATTATACAAGATAGTCAAAATATAAAATTTGCGAAAAGTCGACTGTAATTCGAAGAGTATATTTTCCAATTTGTAGAAAATCAAGTAGAAACCAATCAAGTAGAAAAACCTTCCATGTAGCAATAACAAGTTTCAGCTAACAGAGACCTAGACGACAAGAGCTCTACGAATTTTCATGTGCATTGAACACGAAACAAATCGAGTTTGGAAGCAATATGTGACTGGCAATCGGACGTGTGTAAGAAAGGAAACACGACATGGCAGGTTTCGCTGGCCAGTGTATCTTATATTTCATCGTTGTTCGTTTTCTCTTTATCAGTCGACCACTACAATCCGTGACAATCAGTCATAATCGCGCGTCATGTATCGGCGAAACCCTTTAAAGTCGGTAGTTACGAGTACAAGACCGTTACGAGTAAAGCGAATCTTACATCCGAGCGTTCAGGGAAGGAACACTCCGCGAACTATCGCTGATAGTTCTTTACGATCGATATCTTCCATTGACCGACATAACTGCGACTTAATGTGTGACATTCGGCGATTTGTGGTAAAAGCGTTATCACAATGGTTTATTCTCTCCTCACGAGCGACTTCAGCAACGCCGGGGACATTTAATCCTAGCTCGATCGAATACACGTCTCCTCCTACTGCCAGAAGCGTAAAAAGGCTTTTCATGTTGACGCTCAACACTCGCATCTAGTGTTAAATTAGGTCACGTGATCCGAGTTGACGCTAGACAGTGAAACATATATAAAAGAGTCGAAAATCGAGCGTCAAGATTGTGGCGTCAGTATTGTGTTTACCAATCTTTAGTCACTGATCAATATCATATCGTTTGCGCATCAAAATTATACATGACTAAAGGACTGTCTACATTAGAAATAAGCAGTATTAAATAACGAGTAGAATATTGATTGGTAATAAAACAGTAGGGAGTAGGAAATGGGAATGATCCATTTCGCTTATTCCCGGTGTTACACTTTATTCTATTGAAAACATTCTCTCGCTCCTTATTTCTCCTTGTTACTACCTCTAATGTAGACGATCCTTAAACGAATGTACTCAAAAGTTATAACTTTTATATCCTGCCAAAAACTCGGACCGAAGTTTAACATCGTGGATACAAGCCCTGCCCAGTAAGCAAGAAATACTGAATCAATTTTTTGCATAGATTTGAAGCATTAATTTTACGTGGATTTTATAGACACTTTGACATAATATTTTGTAAATGTTTCTCAATTGTTATTTGATAATATAATATTCCTAAATATTAACATTATAATGTATAAATATTATTTTTAATATTTGGGTCAAATATTGTTAACAATGACGTTGTATATATTAGGAACTACATATTCGAAAACGTTACATGTTACAAAACATCCTTGCGACAACATTGTGTTAATGATTTCTTGTTTACTGGTAATACGATATAACACCGTGAGCAATTTGATACTTGAAGCTGAAATAATCCGACCTTTTCCCTTTGACGCCAATGCCAATGTGATATCCAATCACGTTCGACGCTGGTCGAGCTGGGTTTTCAGCGTCCCACGAATTCGCTCTTAATTTTCGACAGAAGACGAAGTCAAGCCACGGTTAAAGTCGGTTTCGACGTTGTCGAAGCCGACGATACTATCTCGTTCGAGAAACAGCACACGCGTTGTACCTAATCGGTTTTCCAAAAGTTCCCAAGCGCCTGCTGTTACGCGCGCGGACATCAGTCACTGTAATTGTGAACTTCATTGCAGCTCGCTATGCCGTTAGAGATTGCTGGTGTAGCCGTTACAAGGTAGTTCCCGCATAAAGCGGGAGGTGTCTACAATGATCGTGTTTAACCTTCAAGTCTTATGAAATTGACCGATCACAGTCGAATATGAGGGAAATAATCGACTGTGATCGGTCAATTTCTTCTGGCTTAGAGGTCAAAGCACCTTATTGTAGACCGAGACTAACCCGATCTAACTCTACACCGGAGATTATCTTATACCTTCGTACCTGCGCGTCGCGTCTATGTACACGATTAGCCGATGATGTAGCCTCGTACGTTTGCGTAATTCTGCACTCTACAGAGACGCACGAAACAACGTAGAACGTCGCCGATCCTCGAAGAGTGATCCCCCGGCGAGGGATCCTACCGTTCTCGGAGGAGGACCGGGGAGCATAGCTCTCGGCAGAACTGGATGACTCTTGTAAAAATGTACTCTCCGAAGCGAAAGCCGCGATCGCAGCTGGCGAACGCGCGCGGCCCGAATAGCAAAAAGTCGCGCTCTCGAAGATTAGCCTGCGCGCTCGGCCGGACGGCCGTTGGAACGACGTGAGACCGCCGAAGACGACAGAATTGCTCCCTAGAATCCTCTCTCTCTCTCTCTCTCTCTCTCAGCAGCACGCACTCTCGACATCTCTCGCGCCCTACGAGTCCGCGCGGCCCGAGACGTTAATCTCTATATACAAGATCTAGCACGGCTTATCTAGAGGCTGACCAAAGTACAGGAGGACAGTGACGTCAACCGACGAGTCGAAAAGGTCCTCGCGCGCCTTTAGGACTTTTTCGAGGCATTGCTGGCTTGCTGCTGCTGCTGCTGCTGATCGTGCCTAACCTCGGGGCTCTGCTGCATGTCGTTAACGCGATTCACCGTGATGAATGGCGTGACCGGCGGTGCCTTGCCCTGAGGTACCACCACCTTCTCGCACACCTCTACCACGGTTCGACGTCGTTCCGTCGACGGAGTGGCCAGCGTGGTCGCCTCCTCGTAGCATCGCGCCGACGGGATTCTCGACGGGGATGCGACGAGCTGCTCCGTCGAGCTCGTCTGCGAAGACACGGATTCCGCGGAAGCGGGAAACGCTGCTGCCTCGGACGTTCTCGGGGCCGAGCCCGTCGAGGACTTGTTGCCACTCCCCGGATGCGTCTTCGACGGGGAAGCTTTGAGGGCGGACGGGCCGGAGATCAAAGCGGAGTCGGAACTCGTCGGCGAGGACTTGGCGGTTTTCCGAGGGAGCGGAGTGGGAATCTTGGAAGCGGCGCGGGAAGGCTTCGAGTCGGGGGGAAGCAGCGTCGCCCTGACCGAGGGAAATGTTAATTGGTAAGTCTCCGCGTTGCCAATGTCCACGGATAACGGGGACTGTTCCTTCAGCGAATTCTGCCGCTTCGTCGGGCTGGCGAATTTCGCTTGCTCAATGGAGAGCTTCAGACTGGCCGATACTATAGACTCGGTAGGACTCGGTTCCGACTCTGTTTTCAGCTCGGCCACGTCTTTGGCGAATGTGCGCGTTTTCGAGAGGCTCTCGGGGCTTGTTTCTCGCTGAGGTGCTTGGGGACTCGGGTGGGTAATCGCGCGAGGCACGGAGGTATGTGAACGAAGTGTATTAGAATTAGTAGTGGTCTCTACGTGCGTCTGCGGCTGTGATTTGTTAGTCGACAGTTCCCCAGAGGTGTCAGCAGTATCCTACAGAATCAGAGAGTTACAAACCAATTGATAGTTGTCCAAGACCCATAGCCAGAAGAGAGGAAGAGAGAAAGAAAGTGAAACGTGTGTGGCGAGGGAGATAGGCGCAATGAGTTACTTGATTTCTTGGATGCAAGTGTACAGGGCGTACCAGAAGAGGTGTATGAGGTTAGTGGTAGAATTGCAATCCCGAAGTCACACCTGAAGGCTTGGAAATTCGAAACAAGTTACCACCACCCCCGATCAAATTCATCGCAATGCAAAAGGATGAGGATCGCCACGACAACGCGTAATTGGCCATAGTTGTGCAAGAAAGAACCACCACATGGGGTACGTTTCGAGGGAAATGAAGATGAAAATTTAATACATGATTTAAAAAATATAAATGGCACTGAGGTTTTTTGTGATCGTTCAAGAAGTCAAGCATAGTCCATTTCCTTCCCTTTAAGGGTGTTCATTGGCAAACTTAAGCCTTGAGAATAGGTAAAAAAGAGACGCAACTAGTAAAAAATGGTATAACTGATAGAAAATAAAGACTTTTTTAATTAATTTTAAGCGTCAATAAGGTTTGGATCTTTTTGTTTTATGTAAGAAGATATATAGATTACTCAATGATAACAAAGTTTCAAAAGCCATAATTTTGTGAGTTGGATCTTGCTTGCATAACAATAGCCAGTTGTTTCTCGCTACGTGTAGAACTGCAGTTTGCCACGATTGGAATCGAAGTAATCGGTTACAGACGTACAATCGACGTCATGTACCATCCCCTACGTTGAAACTTTTTACTATTACATAATTTTTAGTCTTTTAAACTTTCACATGTATACATAAAATTGAAACTATTACTAACTAATTATTCATGGACCTTCATAACGTAGAATGAAAATATATATATACTTCACGCCACAGGGTACACGAATTCAACTCCATAAGAGTGAACATTTCATACCAATTTAAGTTATTTTTCACTGTCACTCCATTTTTCGAGTGGGGATTTCATTTCAAGAAATCTAGAGAGTTATAACTAGTGTTACTACTGCGATTCCCAACCTTGTGTTATGTATATGGCTAAAAATCGTGTGACTTTCCGTCTAAGGAATGGTACAGTATGATGCGCCGAGTGTACACAGAAGAAGCAATCCCGTTGGTGTAACTGAATTTTCCTGGGAACCAGACGAAGACTCGGTTATATGAACAGAGAAATTTCCGTAGGAAGTTGCTACTCAGTCAGTTTCTCTCAATTGTCTCAACTCAATTTTAACACTTTGCGGCTCGTGCTCCATATGAAGTTGTCGCGCTCTCTAACTCGAGCAAACTGAGCCTACGGTTTATACTTAGCACTTTTTCAACTGCAATTAAGTGCCAATCTGAAGGGACTTGTTAAAGCATATTGACTTTCTTGATCGTAAAGTTCATGTTTTCCTCTTATCAATGAATCATAATAAATTTCAATTTTTGCATTTGTTTTTTTATTTGTTTCAACCAACAATAGTAGTCTTTTGCTAATTGAGAAGAGTCATACGTAGATATTTGATCCTGAGACTATAAATATCGCTTTTTGAGATGTGATAAAGTACATCACAGACTTTGTATATTTTGAGTATTATCTATTATAATTGACTATAAGAAATGTTTTGTACATTTTCCGAAGATACAATAATATAATCATCCGATGAAAAATTACCATCCGGCATAATTCTATTAATTAACATTTTTGCGTTTTCGTGTACTTTAAGTATGTCGTCCGTAATTATATTCGTTACTTTATAACATTTGACTGTGGCTCTTTATAATTTTGTTGACGTTATTAAATACACGTCTCACTTTTGCTTTTCCCCACACATCTTCAATTGTAGATATATTAGATGATAATATGTATATATCGTTAATATCAATGTTCTCACATATCACGATATCACTATGCCGTCGGCAACGAAATTCGAAATTCACACAACGATACTAAGCCAGGATATTCAGTCATAGTCAGACCTTATATTTAAGATGATCTTAAATTTATCTTAAGTTACTTTACAAATCGTTTCACTGGCTATAATGCATTTGAAGGAGAACTTAAGATAATCTTAAGATCTTAAAGATAAGATCGACCATGAATACCGCATCGAACCGCAAAGCGTTGAAGCTGAATGTTCTCGGTCGCAGTAACGAAGATCATTCCCTGTCGCCGGGTTTCCAGCTGGTCTCTCTTTTTCCGTGTACTCACGGCGATACATCCGTGCTAAATATCTAGCGAGACGTTCACCTACCTTGATCATCGCTACTGCCTCCCGATGACTGGCGAACTGGTGAGCCGTCGCCGCGGCGTCGTTCGGCGCTTCGACCACCGTGCTGCTCGGGGTGTCCTCTTGGACGGGGGGCTCCCGTCGCTCAACGATGCTGCTGCCGGTATGCACGATCTCCTCGTCGATTGGCTCGTCCGCTTGGCTAACCGAGCAGCTCACGTCCGCGGTGTGGATGCCCGAATCCTCGCGGTCCGTGTCGTTGAGGAGTTCCGCGGATGACGAGGAAGCGGGGTACCGTCGGCCATAGTCGAGTTCTTCGAGGCTCTGCACGCGCTCGAAAGTATCGGGTCCGCTAGAAGCGTCGGCGTCCAGGGAGTCTAAGCTCCTGTGGAAGATGGCGCGCGGTACGCGGTACTCCGAGTCCGGCGACGAGCTCCTCTCGCTGGGCGTCGAGGTGTCGATCCTGCTCTCCTGGTCTCGGAAGCAGAGCGCGTGCTTGCCAACTGCAACCCGCTTCTCCACGATATCCTTGTTCCTGGCGGCGTCCAGCGCACTAAGGCGATCTTTGATCGTCTTGGCGGTAAGCTCGCCGTTATGCCGCGACTCGCTCGCCGTGGTCGTCGGCACGGAGGACGACTCGTCGCTACTGCTGTACTTCTCGAGGGTGGACAGTCTCTCCCTGAGAGGCCTCACCGTCTCCAAATCTTCCGTGCTGAGCTTGCGGTGAACGGAGCTCTTGCTCTCTCGCTCCGAAGCTTGCTTCTCCAGGTGGGTGAGCCTCTCTCTGATCGAGCTCATGTCGCCGGACAATCGGTTCAGCGTCTTGCTGCCACCGTTCTCCGCCTCGTACTTTTGCTTCTCAAGGCTCGATAGTCTCTCTTTGATAGACTTCGAGCCGGTGAAGTCGCCGGACAGCCTGTTATTCGTTTTGCTGTCGTTGCTCTTCTGCGACGCCTTTTCGAACACCTCGCGTCTCTTTAATATGTCCACCTTCACCATCGACAACGGGGACTTGCTGTCGTCGTTCAGGCTCGTTTTCGAGCCATTTACCGACGATTTCGCTCCCTCGAGCTTAGAGTCGATCCCGGTCAAAGACCTCCTCGGTATATTTTGCGACACCCGCGACACGTAACCGCGAATAGCGCCTTCGTACGTGTACTCCTCCGGCTCAGGCGAGCTCGTAGTCGCGATAGTTGTGGGCTCGTATTCTTGATTGTGAAAACCACCGCCGAACGCTTTCCTCGTTGCGCTGGACGTCGCCGTTGACGACGTCCCAGCCGTCGTCGTCGTCGCAATTACACTCGGCATCACCGTCGTTGGCATTGCCGTCGTCGTTGCCGTCGCTGTCGTTGTCTCCGTTGTTGTTGTCGCCGCCGCTGCGGATGTCGCCGCCAACGCACTCGTTACCGCGGCTGATGTGGACGCAACCGAGGCCGCCAGCGTTGTGCTGATCGTCGAGGCCGCATCGGTAGCGTTGTCTACATCCGAATGGCTTTTCTCCATCTCGCTGTCCCTGTCACTCTAAAATTTGACGAGTGAACATGACACTACCCGCACACGAGGGCGAATTCTTTGTCCAAATAAACGAATCAGCGAATTCTTCGCGAAATCACAGACGTATCTTGATTTTTAACTCGCAACGTTATTGTATCTTTTTCCCCATTGATTTAGAATTATTATTATATTAATAATGAAATAAAATAAATCATTATAATTACAATAATTATTATTATTTATAATACATTGATATTCTTAGTCTTATATTTCCCGCTTATCAAATAAAAAGATACACCTAATAATATTAATTTGGAAACATAATTTCAAACTAAACGAAAAGAAAGAAATAAAAGCAATTTTCCAAATTAATATCGCAGAAAATGAATATATCGCGTAATCAGTAATCTTTTAACTAAACCTGAGTTTCGTCGACTTGATTGACACGAGAATACTCATAAATTCCGAACAAATTCTAAATGAAAGTAGATTTTTCTGATCAGTTGGAACTGATTACAGATCAAGTTTATTGACTTTCTAACGGTTATCATATTCCTATGCAGCGCCTATGGAACCAATCTTCAAAGGACATATTAAAGATACCCAGTCTCTATGTCCTAAGGACGTTCATCGGACATCCTAAGACATCCATAAAATGCTATATGGGTTATCAAAGAAAAGATAAATGTCACATTTGAACGATGGATACTTACCAGAACGCTATGCGTATCATCGTGAGTGTCGCCGCTGACTGAGCTCTTGCCGCTACTGGTGCCGATTCCAAGATCGCTGAGATCGTTTGCATCCTCATCGTTGTACATAGCCAAACTGATGCTCAGTTTGCGGCCTCTATTACCGCGCTCCTCCATCATCTCCGAGAAGGTTTTGTTCCGACGACGTTGGCGATCATGCTCCTCCAATTCGAGTTTTTTCACTTCCACCACCCGCTCGATTATGTGTTCCTGCCGCTTCCTTCGACTACTCTTCCAGTTATCTAAATTCTGCGAGCACAACGATAATTTACTTCCGTTGCCAAACAGATCCGAGATTCGTGTTAGCGAACGAAGTCTTACCGATTGCCAATCTTCGGGATCATCCCGGACCTCCTGTTTGATTTTCTTCACCTCTTGAACCTTCTGAAGCTGCTCTTGTGCGGTCCGGTACAATGAACATGGTCCGACTTTAACGAATTGTAAGGGATTGGTGGCTTGCTTAGGAGGTGTCTTCAAGGTAGTTTTCAATTTTGGCGGTTCGTGCGTCAGCTGCTACAGAATGAAAAGCCACTTCCAACATCTCTTTCGTACGTTTTAAAAAAAAAGAATGTTTGCGCGCTAAATCTCCTATGTGTGTTTTTCTAAGATAGTTTTAACGTAAAATGAATTTTTTAAGAACTTGTTGAAACTTGCACTATATATAGATTTAAATGTGACCTAATATTAGCGAAATATATTATAATTTTGAGCTCACATATATATATATATATATAGGAAATCCCTTAATATAACAATCCAGCACTCTATGTTACAACTACCTTAAAAAAAATTATATATATATAGTTTTTTGTCAAATTTAATATTCCACGGACTTGTTTCATCCTGAAGAATCTCACGACTCTGATCCATTTGTATGAAATATTGATTTCATGCGTTTACACAATCGGTTTGAAAGATGCACCGGATGTGACGACGAGTACTAACCGTCCTGTCGTTTCGCCGCTCGGTTGCGGCGGTTTGCGAAGCAGGCATCCTTCGCGTTTTCCTGCTTCTTCCGCTTTTTCGAGACACTCCTCCTTTTCAGTGTTGAACGACACCTCTTTGCACGGCTCGGCCCATCCTATGTCTTGTTCCTGCCAAACACAAACGTTGAAAGTTAATAGGGAACGACGCTTAACATAATTAGGAAAATGATGCGATCGAGTATAATAACATACAACGAAGTACACTGTTGATTATACTATATCTAGAACGAAATACGACAAATTAACGACTAAATTAGTTAGAATCTTAGAGTATAGGAAAGTTGATAGTAAGTTTAGTAATAGATTGATGCGATTAAAAAAAATCAGAGTCTAACGAATAAATTTTTTCGCTTTTCATTATGAGCTTTTCATTATGTATCTGGTGCTAAACTTTCACCTATAGCAGATGGTCGCCTTAAATGCGCGGAAATGTTTATCGTTTCGCACAACACAAATATTATCGTATTCGGCTTATGTTTGCGCATTGCATCCGTTGCACACGTGTTATTTCCGAAAACGTTTCACCCCAAAATGTGCGCACTATTTCCTTCTCACGTTACATCGAAGAGTTTGCGATAAAAATTGATTCATACCTCTATAAAGAAAATAAAAATAATAATTTTCCAATATTCGCCTAAAAATATCATTTCAATCACACCTCTTTGCAATGAATCCATGCCGCGAAGATAGTTTTCGAATCGAGTGCTTTAAAAGAAAATATTTTAACAATATCTACGATTTTTTCTTTATATTTCCACAGAGGCGCTGTTAAAACATTTTAAAACGACTCGAATCGCATTTCTCTCGACGGCCTTGCCGATATCTCGACGGTACGGTACGCGTCGAGATATATTTCGCTGATAACAGCCGCGCGCCGTTCATTTGCCGGAACGGAGTATCGGGGTCGTAGATTTCGATATGTCCGATCGTGTCGGCCGACCAGCTGACAGAATCCCCTATGACACCTATGACGCGCGGCGTGGCATCGCGATCAAACGCGACACGCGGCCGTGCGTACCGGTGCGTACAAACACGCGAACGAGCAACACGACAATTTGCCTCTCCGGTACAGGCCTTTCAAAGCGATTCTGGAGCGAACGGCGCGGAATGTATCTCCGAGGAGGAAATCGACGTGAGGATCACGAAGAAGTCAAGGCTGGATATTTCTGTCGTGGCTCCGCGCGTAACAGTCTGTTTTCCAGCGGTTTTATTTAGTTTATTTAGAGACCGCGCGGTTAAACCGTGGCCGGTCCGATTATCTCCGCTCGTTGGACTTTAGATGTCTTTCATTTCTTATTGATAGATTCCTCCACAATGGGCGACTTTCTCATCGCAGGAATTTTGCAAAATTATATTGTCACACTGGTCGATCAGATTTGTTTATCACGAACAAAACGAAGACGAGCATTTTTTGGAAAATTTTGGAAAAGTGGGGCCAACTTCGCAGACGTCATGAAACAAGTAGGTATTAAATGCATGTAGCGATTTCCCTTGTGGGAAGCTGAACACACTGTTGAAATGAAATTCTCCAACGAGCAATCAACGGTAGAGTTCCGAATAGAGATCCGAGTCGACTCTCCCAAAGGAATATCGCATCCGTAGCACAATGTAGGGTTCCATCGCGACGGATGTCTGCGGAATGTCAGCTGCAGTTGCGCACACGTTCTGAAAATATCGCGGCTACATGGCGGTCGCTATTTCGCGCATGCGAATGCGTCTAAAAAGCCGCGTGTAAATCGCAGGGTAAACCCGCCGGTTCGCTAAAATAATCTCATATTTTTCGAATTTTACGACCACCCGCTCTTCTTCCGCTCCGGTGATCTGTCTCGCTCTAACGATCTCGTTCCTTTTGTTTCTAACAGTTACTCGCTCCCCCTCCCGCTCTAATCCGTCCCCGTGCCATTCATGTTCCGTGCGAATCGACGCAAGAGCCTCCCTATTAAGCACTTACGCTCGTTACCGTACCGAATCATAAAGTAACGAAATGATCAGGCGAAACGTTGTCGAGGATTTATCCGACTTTATTGCGAAGGATGTAATTCCGTTTTTCCTCGACGCACGTATTCACGTTTATGGCATATTATCGCGCGTTACAACCGTTCTTTGTTACGATCGCGCCCCGTCCCAGATAGATTTTCGCCGAGTTTCTCTCATCGCCTTGACAACAGACGCTCACTGTTGCGCAATCGCGACGTACAGCTGTCGATGTACCTGCGCGAATGTATATACATACACTAGCGACTCAGAAGAGGCATTGATACGGCGGGACGGCTTGAAATGTGACACGTGAATAAATATTTCCACATTAAGATCAAGAGTAATCGACTGTCGTGAAAGAGCCTCTCTATCTCTCTCACTCTATCTCAAAGAGCAAATAGAGTAACTCGTTTCTCCCGGAGCGTCGCGACGCTCTCTTGCGCGTCCTCGCGCGCGTATATGAATACTCGATTTTTCCTTCGTGCGCGACATCCCCCCTGAGAAGAATCGCCGTAATATTTTATGGTGCATAAAACGATTGCTTTATGCCACCCGAGGCCCGTTGGTCGGCTTCGTTCTTTTATTAAACTATGTTAAGGTGTTTTACGGTCATCGAGCACCCTGGTCATCGTAAATTATAAACGCCAATGTCGCGCGCACTGCTCTCATAGAGCATCCGAATCGTTTACGGTCAGTCAACAACGTTGCTCGTGTATCAGAGAGAGAGAGAGAGAAGCGCTGCTTTCCACATGACTTTTTACCACCGCTCGTCGCGAAGAGTCCTCGACATGTCTTCACGCGTCCGTCGTGAAATCCATCGTCCTAAGCCGCGACGATGTAAAAAGCAGCCGCGTAAAATGAAGCGAAGGATTGACGCACACACAAGCGTATTTTTATCAACGTCTCTTATCGGCGTCACACATAAAATCGCATCGCGACTCGAACACGACGGCGCGTCGCCGGAGCGATTCGAAAGCTCGACGTAGCCCCGCCGCTTTTGACAGTCGAGACCTTACGAATCGACCGCGGAGGTTTCTACCTCGCGTTTTCACAGACCCGATTTACCGAAGCAGAACAGTGTCGTCGTCGTCGTCGAGGGAAAGTCACACGCGCGACGTACGAATTATTCGCGCGTGCATCTCTCCTAACTTTTGACGTCGCGGGGATACGTGTCGGGTACTCTTAATGCACTATTAAAACGGGAGAGAGAGAGAGGAAAAAAAGGCGGGATTTATAACGCGCTTATGTAAGCACGACGCTAGCTGTGAGATGCCTCGCGACAAATCGACGACGAAATATCGCGCGGCGGAGGAAAGCAAGCTCGCGCGAAGGCGAGCTCTCTCGTGGCCGGTTTCGCTGTCGGTCCTGAGACGTGCATGCGGGCCGTACATACGATCGGTACGCACGCATAGATACGTTTCCCGATCGCGTGATCGTGAGAGCGGGTCCTCACGTGTGTAAGTGCAGAAGAGATACGACGGAGCGGGTACCTACGCGCCTGTACCGGGTATCCAGCGGCTCGGAAACGTCCCGGGAATTCGAGTTCCTCGATTATTCCGCATAGGTTCGCGCTTTGTTCGCATTTTCTTCGTCGCGCGTGGACGATAATCGCGATCGAAGCGGAAACGGTGCAGCGTAAGAGCGGTAACGAAGTGCTCCATGCCATTTTAATATGTTCTACTTTAATACGTTCAAACATAAACATTAACATATAAGCGTATGAATATAAACAATGACTCATCTACTCAATACGAAACATCTGTCTGATGATAATCCTTTCCGAAAGACTAGGAAAGCGGAGCGCGCTGTACATCCGCTCGATGATCTTCTTCAAGCTGTTCGAAAAGTGCTTTGAATTTCGGCCGAAAATTTTGAAGGTACATTCTAAACGTACCGCAAGCAATTAAGACAACTTTGGACAATTCGATTTTTTGAGCCCTATAAGCCAGGTTAAGAATAAGTAAAAAGGATAATATACAATTGCAAATTTCCTTTTACAAACGATATAAATGCTTTGCGAATTTATGTTACAGATTGCAAATCGTACAAAACGGACCTCTCTTTTTGCACCTTCGGCCAGTAAAAAAAGCACCGAGGGGCCGGGGAGACCGCCGCGGCGTACGCCTGGTACGGAGCGGTGAAAAATCGCGCGCGAGTTATTTCGTAGCTCCCCGCCGACGATAAACAAAGCGCGCACGAGGTACGTGGTTCGCGGAGGAACACCCTGTATGCGCGAGCAGGAGAGTTACGCACATGTACGGCTGAGCGTACAACAAACTGGCCACTTGGTGCGCGCTGGATCGCGTAGGATGTGCGTGTGTGTGCGTTTGTTTGCCCGTGGAGAGCGGTGGCTAGGTCACGGTCAGGGCGATGCCCTCTTCCCTTGGGAGAAAGAGAGGAGACCGCTTGATGCTAAAGCTGCCTCTCGACGGGCCACGCGACCGTCGAATCGCGCGTACGTGTGTGAGAGCGAGAGTCCCGATATCGCGTGTATGTGCGCGCGCGTGTTTCGCAATATCGCGATCGAACTCGCCGAGAACTCAATTAGAGGGATAAATCTCTGAAGCCGGCGGAGATCGCGCAGTCGACGAAAGAATAGAAGAACATTCGGCCTATTAGCGTCAGCTTTATGCCAAGGACGAGATCCTCCCATCTTCGCGAGTCATCTCTGGACGCGTAGGCGTTTACCTCGATTTAGCAAGGGAGCTCGTAAATTGTTGACTTAATTCTCGCTAGGTGTAACACTGTGTGCGTTCTTCGTGGACATTAATGAAAATGTTACGAATTAATATCCTGGGAATAATTCGAAGTTGCGGGCCTTTCCTTCCGCTTAGCTGTAGGTCTCCGCTCTATCAGCCACTTGTGAGAGATAATGGGTGTAAAATAATTCTACACGGCGATGTACGACGGTATAATCGCGCGAACTTGACGGGGAAGTACGAGAAAGAGGGAAGACTCGAGTATATATCACGAGACTTGTCAATGCATCACATGCACGAGAGTCATAACACGTGCATGGCGTGCACCGTGGCAGATGATCTGATCGCTGAAGGAGTTAATCATAAAAGGAAGGCCAGAGAGGGAAGGAAGGAGCAAAAGAGAAAGGAGAAAAAGGGAGAGAGATGAGCAGA